TATATAAGACATAAAGTCTTTATATAGGTACAATTTTAAAGAGCAACTAAAATACTACTTTCTACGTAGTTGCCAAGGAAATTGAGCCACTTATCGTAGCGGTGGGCTTTGAAATTCTTTTGTCGTAGAGTTCCGTCGAGCTCAGCCACCTGGCGACGCGCAATTAGAGCTCTTTAGTTGCTGTCAAGACTAAGACTGCTGCCAGCCAAGTCTTAATTTTTGGAAACAAGTGAATGTCACTGAAAGCAAAGTCTAGACTGGGGAGGGTGGTTAAAGGAGAATCTCCTATTTGAATGAATAAAGAAGATCTTGTATGCGATTCTCTGTGCCGATTTTGAAACTGAATCCACAATTTCCAGACAGAACTTTCATTTATTAATTTATACTATTATAAAGAAGAGGTGGCGTCTGTGAGTCTGTGTGTCTGTGTGTTTGTTCATACAATAAACTTAAAAACTACTGAACCGATTGGACTCAAATTGTACAAAAATAAAGCTACTCCGAGGATACATATAGAACTATTCCCCCTTCGATATTAAAGTTCCCCACAGGCCCACAGGCTTTCAAAATTCTGAGGTGAGAGATTTAAAAGTAAATATTGATTGGTCTCCATGGTAACAAAGTACAATTTCACAAAGTTTAAATTTAAACAAGCATACTGTCAAATTAATAAATTTTGATTTCACATTTCCACAAAGCTGATTCAAACATATTAAATTCTGCAGATATTAGAACAGAAAGGGTATGGATGATAAACATAAAAAAATGATGTCAGTAGCCCGAATGTAAACATTATTTAACATTACTTAAATGGAACTGTCAAAACATATCTTAATGTCATTAATATAGGATTCCTTCAGTTATGTCATTTGTTTACGTTTTATGATCTATGTCTATACTGAGTCTATTCTGATATTTTTGAAATGATGTAATAATAGTTTACAGGGAATAAGACAGACTCTTATCCTGAGTTTTATGAGAATTATTTTTTAAATACATTTTTGTGTAAATAGTAATAAGATGCCCCTGCTGCAGCAAACCTGCAGACTAAGCAAATTTTCCATTTGCCTGATTATAATTTCACAAAAATAAGTTAGAAAAATACACTATCGACAGGTTTGGAACTATTGTTATAGCTTTTCGTTTATAGTACAAACCATTCAACATGTTATTTGATTATACATTAAAATCTATCATTGATTTTTGTATCTTAGGTAGCCTAACTAAGTGTTTACAGTCTGAGTCAACAAAAACATAGGCCTACTATTATCAAGTTAAGTAATACAGTTCAATTTCGTTTCTAAATTAGATGGTAGTAGTGAAACAATTGTTAAGCCATTTTCAAAGAACAGACAATATCTCTTTTGCATACTGACTCTGTTGCAAGGCACGGTTATTATAGCTGCTAGTTCAACATATGTTTCTTAACACTTCAGCATTTGAAGATAAATTTCACTAAGTTTTAAGGTTATGCCAAAAAAAACCATGCAGATAGCAGCTCACAGCTAGCAGGATTTTTAATTGCAGAACACTTTCTAAACTTTAGTACTGCAACATCAAGTTCAGTGACACTTCCCTATGACAGCTGGATAGTCAGTGAGTAGGCAAACATGTATATTTGTATATACTAAACAGTGAGTGATCAGCATGCACCTATCGGCGACAGACGGAAACATTCTTTACTTTCTGAACAGCCCTCGTAAAAAGCTCATGTACGGTACTGAAGGAAAGTGTTTCATGCAATACACATCTAGTATAATCTTTAGAGGTAATGGAAATAACTTTTTAATAATTTTTGTATTATTTACTGAGATTTTAAAACTTACTTGCAGGATCAAACTCGTTCTTATTTATGATTGTTGAAATAGGTCGATGGAAGGTGACAGCTTCTATCATCTTACCCATCATATCTGGCCATTTTCCAGTTCTTTGCACTGAAGTCTCACTTAAATAATTTCCTTCCTTAGTGGTGTAATTGAGTTGAGACAGCGATGAACAATTACAGTATGTCGTGTTTTGTATAGAAAAATCAAGAGAAGTGTGTAATAGTCATGAACATACTTCTCCATTGGTTTGACTTATTTTACTTAGAGTTTTATTAAAATGTTCTATTATGCTTGGACAATTTCTTGTTAGAATTCTGTGTGTTAAATTGCAAGGATATTCTTGCAATATTATAAAAGATCTGTTTAAAATAAAATCATCAACATCATGTACAGAAATTAAACCGTTTGAATTTTGTTTGACTTGAACTGATTTTCCTGATTCCATCAACGATTGTAAAAAAATATCTGAATTATCTGACTCCAATATTAAAACTTGATGTCCACTTTCCATTTTCGAAATGTAAAGGCATATTTCAGTACATAAGTTACCGGTACTAAAATTTGATAATTTTTTAACTAATCTACATCTAACACAACATAAGTGGAGCACAAACAAAACATTCAAAGTCCCAAATGATTTCATGGCATATTTTTTTTCAATTCATAAGCCTACAGGAAAAAAACAATAGTAAATAACCACATAGTACTTTTAATTTTAATAAGTCCTCATATATTATCCATCAACAAATACATATATGAAATGTCTGAGTCGGACCAAATTACTTTTAAATTGGACAGGGCTAAGTAGTGTTTGCATTGAACATGAGGTTGTAAAGATAATTTTAGTTTACCGCCCTAAAAAGCTTTGTAATAAATAAATATTCATAGCATGGTCATTAACTCTTCCTGATACTCTTGTTAATGCATTACTTGTTTACAACAATATAATGTAATGTAACCAAATTGTTACTACTATATTTATTATACATTTACTACAACTATGAACTATGGTTAAACTTGTTAACATTACATATTTTTTCACCACACTATACACTTTTTCCCACTGAAATTAGTCCGGAAAACAGCTTTTAGCCGTCTGCTTAATCAAATGGGGTTTCATTACGTACTACAGTACTGTAATGAATATTTTACTGGACACCAGCTGATTATAATTGGCAATAAGTCAAGGAATCAGTAAAAGAAAACATAACCTCTCTTAGAAGTTATGAGTAGTGATTGTTAAGTCCTTTATTCGATGGGGAATATATAACGGATTTGTACAGTTTTTCGCGAATTTCCCATATAGGGAAAAAGCTATTACCGTAGGTCTCATGGTAAGACCTAGACCTGGGACCGATTAACGTTTTCGTTTTGAGGTCCCTAGAGGCCAAAAACACCCTCCGTTCAAATTCATATATTTATGTATGTATGTATATGACATATGTGTCCGTTAACGCGAATAATCTAGCGAAAAATAATCTGATTTGATGAAATTTGGTACAAACATGTAAACCTATGTCTATTCGAATGAGTTCTGGTACCAGCATGATTGGACTATGGGAACGGGGGTTTAGGGGGGGTTTTTTTAACTGGGTAAAAATCAGGTTTTCCATTTTTGACTCTAAAAACATACAATTTCTAACTAAACCATTTTGTAGAGCTGAAAAAAAGAAATAATTTTGTATATTGAAGCGTTATTCTATGCCTAATGGTTACGGAGATAATTTAAAAATTTTAAATTTCCATGTAATTGTTATGGAAAAAAAAATAATCTGTTGTAGTTTGCTTGTTTATGTATATATTTTAATCAAATTTGGCAATTTTGTTTATTTTATACTAAGCTATCAACATTTCAATACAAATATAACACACCTCAACACCTTCCCTGAAGCAGCAAACCTAAGTACTCATTAAAATTAATTTTATTTAAATAGGAAATAAATCTGACAATTTTAAGAGGATAGTTTAGTAGGGAAAAATGAAATCCAGCCAGGTAAAGGGAAATTCGCTTATTCTGCAGGTTTGCTGCGGCAGGGGTGTTTTATTGTTAGGTTAGTTAGAGAGTAGTATGGCCAAAAAATATTGTACATCACTCGTCCAAAATGTGTTTACGCCACACTACACTGTTTTGACAAACTTCCCAAGCAAGGATTTTTTCCAGAAAACAGCTGTTTGCCGTCAGCTTAATAAATGGGGTTTCATTACATACTACTCTACTGTAATGAGTTTTGCCGGACACCAACCAGCTGATTATAATAAACTGTATTTGGTAATGAGTGAGAGTTGTTAGTTTATAAACAAAAACATAACCACTCTTAGAGGTTATGACTAGTGATAGTGGTCCTTTAATCGGTGGTAATTTATAACGATTTGTACGGATTTAGTAGTATGGCGTAAAATATCGTACGTCACTTGTCCAAAATGTGTTTACAGGACTCGTATGGTAATCCCGTACTCCACTTCGTCTCGCAAGGGAACTACCATACTCGTCCGGTAAACACTTATTTTCAGGACTAGTAACGTAATATACTATTACCATACTCGTCCGGTAAACACCTATTTTCCGGACTAGTAATGTAATATTATATACTATTACATCACTTTACTTAAAATGAGTCAAGTAGAGGGGTTTGGGAAGGATGCTCTCAAAAGATTTAAACAAATGTTTATTTTTTCAATCAATTATTAGAACGATTTTTTAAATCAAAATCAAAATTCTGAGTAAAAACATAAATGTTAGTTCATTTGTACTTATCAAGTAAAGCGTTTATTGTTTTAAACATATTTCATATTCTGGTTAAGAGAATAGAGTAACTGTTCCCTGCATGACTTAACTTTGGAAATCCAAGTCATTGAGAAATCACAGCGCAATTCCGATGATAAGGCACTATGGTTTCTACAATGTTCTCCGATCGTCAGTCCCGTCATCAAATGTTAGTCAAATTTTTTATGTGTTTTTCTTTATCAGAATAATTAAATTTGAAGAAGTAAACTATTTAAATATAGAGGTCTGAATTTTTTAATCACATGGACCTAAACATGGTACTGTTACTACTGGCACTACTAAACATTCAATTTGATAAACAAATGGTAAAACAACTATAATTGTAGGACAATGGACGGCTAGTTATAACACTGCTATAACCAACTAACTACTCAAACCAATCAGACAGTAGTAGACAATGTAAGACTTGTCAGTGCATATTTACCATATTGATATGAATTGAAAGGACTTACATTTTGTAAGCTACAAGTTCATATAAATTAAATTTTGTGCACAGTATGAACCAAAAAACCTCAACAGACCTTATAACACTAACAGACGATTACTACACAGTTCTAAGATAAAACAAATGGTGGATATAAGCATCCCAAAAGCATAGAAATAAATCATGAAATTGTAGTTATTGAGAGTAAATGCAGCAATCTCCTTTGATCGAATACCATTGTCAAGATCAGACAATATACGCTTATAGGCAGGCTTCTGAAATCTTCTTTCAGCATCTTCTTTCAAATGCTTCACCAAACCTGTTTCAATGAAACGCTTCAACACTCCATCGAAGGCTGGCAACAACGGAGAGCGCTTGCGGAAAGCTATGGCACATCGATACTTTTTGTTCTGTTCTTTCATGACCCTAAAGTTGTCTGCTATATCTTCGTCAATAGGATCATCCATGAAAAGATAGTCACAGTTTTCTATTTGTTGGACAACTAATGCAAACCTCTTTGACAAGAGCATTTTTTTCAAATTTGATTTGTTGTAAACTATGAAATTTTTTGCAAACTCTCTTTGCCAGTATTTCTGAAAGAAATTTCTCGTATTAGGGCTACTGATGAAACAGTGTTGTTCATTTTTCTATCATTGCTAGTTTAATAAAGAACTAATATTATCAGCATCATTGTGGTTGAACAACGATAAACACATGAATTTGTAAAATCAACTTTATACTCATGCTTTCACGTGCACCTAGTGTTATGGCTGACTCTAGGTTCTGGCAAATCAATCAAAGGTTTTTGTGCAGATAATCATGAAACGCATGAATAATTTGAATGATGATATCACCTAAATTATAACAAATGATCTTATGGATATTTATTGCTGTCAATTTTGGCTTAGAGCGACATTTAAGGAGAGTACAATTCATTTATATACATAATATCAGTGTTCACTTACTGTGGAGGAAGTGTGTTCCACGAAGTTCAAAATCTCATTAGGTCCAATAAAGAAGTACCAGAGTCACTATATGTTAAAAATTATATTTATGTTTAAACTGGTATATCTTGGAACCTATTGAGATGTTGAACGTCATGAGCAGATTCTGCTGGTGGAGATTTAACACGTTGACTGCTGAAAACAACATACAGGCGCTCCCCAGTGGCGGGCGAAGCCACAGTCAGTATTTCAGTCTGACGAATCACAAAAGAGCAGCTGTGATTGTGCTGCGTTACCTCGAGGGTTGACGTAGTTCACTGAAACACCCAAAGTTAGCAGCACTGCCTGGATCCGTAGCCTATGTCTTTGTAATGTGGGTTGAAAATAAAAAATCTCCGAAACCGGGACAAAAACATTGCCCGACAGGATTTTACGGGAAATTTTAGTACCAACCTACACCAAAATAAAGCTTGCATTCTAAGCTACAGGTTGGCAACGATTATAACGTCCTCCGACTGAGGCTAAGCTCACACTGACTCAATATAATTCAGTTGGTCTGGTGCCCTCATTCGTCGGCGTGCGCAACATTGGACCGCTAGCGACGCCGACTTTCCTTAGCAGTCAACGTGTTAAGTGAGGAACCTTATTAGAATATACTTACATCTGTGTCTAAATGCTTGGATAGGTTGTCTTCTTCGTAAGGTTTACCCCAAACAAAATTTTGTTCAACAAGTTGTTGAACGGTGTTTATCTTTGGTGTATAGCTAGGCAAAGTAAGACAAGCCATTATCTTGGAGGTGTAGCTGTTGCAGATCAAAAGTATAAATATATACCAGCAGGACACTAGGATCCTGACTGGAGGCTCCTGTCTCTTGCTAAGTACTCCAGAACCTCCTGTGATGCTGCCCAGGGTGTAAAGTAGGTAGGAGGCCACCACGTCTACAGGATCTGAAATCAGTTAAACAAGTGAAAAATAAAAATAAACACTAACACTGCATAGGTAAGAACACTGCATAGAAGAAGAAGAACAAAGACTCATTAAGGTATAAATACAAAGTCAACTAAGCCTTGATACATGACTAAAGAAATAACAGTGTGGAAAATGTGGTTGTTTTGCAAATGGATTGACAGCTCAAAATGTTTCCGAAAAAACTTTTAAAACCCCAAGTTATAGATGGATCATACGCTTCTTTTCCAAGAACGTAATTAACTGCACTTAAATATTAGGCAAGATCTTTCTCCGGAATTAAAAATTGAAAATTGTGGGAAAAGGTTATTTCGAAGCTTAGTGAAGGATGGCTGGAAATGTTTTAATTCCAAAAGGTGTTTAGGAATTCTTTTACTGTGTGCAACAGGTGACACAATGGCGAACACACGTAAGAGTCAAAGTGGCGGGTGTTGTTTCATCTTTGTTCCATTTCTTTGATTAGAGATGTGGGTTTGTTTAGGTGCTTGTTTGATTGCTGATAAGTCTGTGTCATGTTTTTGCCATCAAATGCTACACCACCTTTAAAAACAATGGACCAGCATGTGACTCAGACAGTCTATTTAATGCACTGCAATAAAGCTGTGCTGTACAAAGGATTATCAAAGGAAGACAAGTCATCAAAATAAACAAACTTGAAGAAGTATTTTTAAATAACTTCTTGATCAGTATTGTACGTGTTATTAAATTTACGGAAAGTAAATAAAAGAAACGTCTTATCACACTTAAAACATATGTTTATGCTTATACTGTTACTCACATTATCTAATATATTCGCCTATTTGGGTCAGATGATGATTGGAGTGTCCAATCAAAATCTATCACTACTTATCATCTTTTTTGTATATTTACCGTCTTGTGAGTAACAGTATAAACGTAAAGATATGTTTTAAGTGTTATAAGACATTTCTTCATTTTTTTATTTACTTTCCGGATGTATTTTTCTCCTTCAAATTCATAGGAAAACCCTACCAAAAAAGTGCATGTTTGTTCATGACGTTAAATTTGTCTCAATATGACGTTGTTAGAGCAGGACAAAAAAATAAGAATTAATGAAAATAAGATTGCCTAGAGGAAATGGAAGATTTGCTCTCTGATGATGATAAAACTAACAATCTTATTAATAAAGAAAAAAATTTGAAAATCTGGCTAAGCAGAGAGAGGAAGAACACCAGAATATGACATATAATAAAATAATCCAAAAATTATAGTCCACAATTGGCACAACTGTATTGAAAAGACAAGAAAAAGTAATAAATGCCACTTTTCAGGCAAAGAAACAGATGAAAGTTCACACTGTTTTCTATTCCATAAAATGGATGATTTTTAAATTACAAAAAATAGAGTAATTTTAAAACTCTTATTCAATATATTTTTAATCCAACACACTTGTTTGTAATTTGTGTGTATTATTTCAGTAATATAGAATTTAAACTAACCTCTAGCACTACTCTGATCTGCCAGATTAACAAGAGTCTAAATATATTTCAAAACCTACCAACAGAAAAGTAAGATACAAAGGATACAAGCTTATGGGACACCCGTTCGCTTTTAGCTCTGGTATGTTGGGGCGGAAATGTACCTACTCGTATACCAAGCAAGGAAGAGCCTGAATGGCGATGGCAACATAGCATTTTTGTACAGCAGTTGTGTAGCACACAGGGGCTTCCTACCGCACGAGTGCTGTAGTTTGTGATAACAAGGGGGAAAGGAGAGCGGAATGGGACAACGAATTGAATTTGCTCTAGACACCAGTGACTGGTGCTAGACACCACTTAAGTGTACCATTGAATGCATCCTCTGTTTCTTACTTTTCTGTGACCGACCTCTTAACATGCTATTAGATGAATCAACAATATTACTTGTCTTATCCGAAAGCTGCTGATCTCTAGTAAACAACAAGTGTAGGTGGATCATGACCCAAACACTTGCAGGGAACAGAAGTAAGCAGAGGACAACCACACTCCACACTGGGAGTGAAAATGGCTTCACTAGACTTTCCCAGGAGATGCCAATAACTGTGGGTCTTGGAACTAGGAATTTTGATGATATCTGGAAAAGTTAATGGAGAGAGTTAGTTAAAGCTCACTCTGAAAATACAAATCAAGTAATAAATCAAAACGTAAATATAAATTTAAATATTTTTTGCCCTTGTACGAAAACGCACAAGGGATAATATACAACTAGAACTCAATAACACAGCAAACAGAAAAATTAGGTAATAACTACTCTAATATATTTACATTCACTTAAATCTGGAGCATTTCTACTTTTGATAAGAAAATATACTAGCAGCCAGCGTCACTTCGGGGCTTCAAAATCCGCAATATATTTGAATAAATTTACAATTTTCTATTGCTCTGAGTTAAGGTGAATATTATATAATTTTGACATGATAATCATTAACTTACCAATGACTTGTAATTTTTTAAGCAAACCCTGAACATAACTTTGTAATTAGATTTCCAATACAATATGAAATCATACATAAAAAATGTTTAAAAAACTTTGGTTTAGAAAAAAACTTTTTAGATAAGTACGTTTACAATATTTTACTTCAATTCACTTAAACATCACCAACTGTAACGATAACCCCCAATTTTGTATGGATGTAAACAAAATTTTATCATGGCCATCAGTTTTGATTTAAACAAATGTAAACTTAAAAAGTTAAGTTGATTGTCAACAGAATTCAGCACAAACTCTGAAAATTTAAAAGCCTATAGGACGAAGGGCTTTCATGGGATATCATCCAAAGCCGCAAAAGGCACATCTAGAGGATAAGAGCTTTTGATACCCAATATGCCTATAAAAATAAATATTTAAGGATCGATTTGCTGAATACAAAAATCCAACAAATTCTTTTAATAATATAGATGCATACTTAAAGTCGGGACCACATAAGTTTGCAGTTGGTTGCAGCCAATCACAAGACAAGGCTAGTGCAACGTTGCCACATCGCCCGTAGACAACACTAATTAAAATATACTAAGCAATATTTTCAAATCAGCTGGTATTATTAGATTTGGCAACACCACATGGTTGTCATTGGTTCATTCAAAACCATATGGTAAATAGGCTCCTCCCTCAACTGCAAACTTACGTGGTGCCAACATTAGTATCCTGTATATATCAGTGGAAAATCAAGTTATTCAAATATCTAATCTATTAAACATTTACAGTGGTCCAAGAAGTAGTGAAATCCAGATAAGGTATCTGATGAGGAGACATCCAAAGAGTGCAAAATCCAATTTCCGCAGTTCCTGAGGTGAGTTGCTCCATGATTCCTCCTTTCCAAGTACCATTGCTCAGGAGTTGTCCCCACTTATCCATCTCACCATCCAGTTCATTGATCCGCCAAGTCATGTTCAACTTCTTGGCTATCTCAATAAAAATGTTCATCTCTAAACCATCATATTTCTCTGGAAAATATTAACATATATCTGGTTACTGTATTTGTATTCCTTGCTAAGCTGTCGGAATCTCATAACTTAGATACAGGGAAGGGTCTTATGTTTTATCTTTGATGTAATATGACGTTATAATGTATTTCTGGAAGAAATTACTTATACAGATTTTTGTCTATTGCCTATTTCCAAAATAATAAAAAACAAGTTAAAACTTTGTTAAAATAAAACTAATAGTGGTGGACCTATTAACCAGATTTTATGTCATTAGCGTCCAAGAACTATTTTGGACATATCGATGTTTTGAGTCGCACAAAAGAAACACAATCTGGAAGGCAAATTTTTTACCACTTTAAATAGCAGCTATCAGTAATAATTCACAAATTTTAACTTCTAGTGGAATGACATTGACATGGAACAACTTTAGTTTAAAGGATCAAACAATAGTTATTTGTGTAACTAGTGGGCAAAGTGGCTTTTTGCTGCACACGAGAGCAATGTTTACGCACTCGCCTGCGGCTCGTGCGGAATGATCTCGAGTGCAGCAAAGGCCTTTTGCACTCGTGTTACACATTATATTTTTCCTACAGTCACTATAAAGCATATAAGTAATTAGTCTTTCAAACACTATAAAACACGTTTTTAGGTTCAGCTGGCAACACAAATAGGTGCCCTAGAGAAAGTAGTACCCGGTCCGTATCACTCCGCTATTTTTCCTGGGCAAGAAATGTGCTCCGCGACTTGAGAATATAGTTCCGTATGTTTTTGTAATTTGAAGTGGTTTCCGCGCCTAAAAAAATGCTTTAAAGGTATTTTATTATTTATTAAGATCGTAGGAATGTTTTTAAAACGTTTAAAAGAAAAGCCCAGAAAGTTCAGAAATACCGAAACTATAAACACAAAATGGCAGGTTAAATCGTAGTTATAATAGTCAATCAGCTGCTCGTAGTACCTATTATTATCTTTAAGTGTTGCCAACCTATTTCCAAGCGTACACGGATTACGTATTACGTGCATAATAGAACCACCCTGTTTTGTTGGAATCCTGATGTGCGCCAAAGTATAAACCGTACGACAATGTATAAATATGCAGCAATTAGCAGCTTTCTGTACTATAAACAGTACAAGGAAGCCAACTTTGTCGGGTGACCATAGGAAAACAATTTTAAATCTTCTATCAGCCCAAAAACCCTGTATAAACCTAACCAAATCAGTATATCCAAACCTGATGAACTTGCAGATTCCCTTGAATCAGGTTTTATACAGTAAAAGAATAGATGTTCAGAGGCCTCATACTGCATTGTGAGTCATTCACTAAGAGACTCACTATATGCATGTGCTTTCTAGAGTGGCAGTGTCCTGTGATAAAACATACTACCTTGTCGATACTCCCCAAGTCCAAGGAACGGAGTTCTGCAGCAATTTGTGCAGAAGGAGACTCAAGTGTGAGTTTCTCATCCTAAGACCTATATGCAACAATTAACCTTGTCGTAGTAGTTGATAACTATGTGAAGGAAACCCTTTGCTTCCGCCAAGTATGAATTGTTTTCAAGATTAGATTTCTATGCGGTCTAAAGTGTCAACCCCATTTGAAGTTGATCACCAAATTGCGGACATGAATGAAAAAGTCTTTGGACAAAGAAAATATTCTTAGAGGTGAAGGAAGTTAGGAGATTTACCAAACTGATAGTAGGTGACAAGGACTATCAAGTTAAGGCTATCAAGAATCTTCTGGTAGTGATCAGCAGGCAAAGTTTCCTCAACTCCAATCACTGGCTCGATGGGAACAAGTGAAAAACGCTGCCAGAATCATCGTGCAAATATGTACAGCCTTTTGTGCACTCCCTAAGCTTAAACATTCTTCTCCATACACATCCACTGGCAACGGATTTCAATAGAGGTTAACCCCTTTCTGCAGAATCCTGATTATAAAACAGATTTCACATTAGGCGGAAGCATAGGTTTACTCTCATATCATCTAGTCAATCGATCAATAGTCATAATCTCAAATTTAGGCGAACCATTTACTGTAACAAAGATTAAGAGAATAGTTAATTCGTGGGTGTTTGGCCTTTAAAGTTGGATAAGAATTTTAATTCCACTCTTGCCATGGACATGCTAAGATCCAGGAATGTTGGGATTTGTCATAACCTGATCTGGTATCTAGTTTATAGGTATGTCATTACAGGAAAATAATTGTAAATTATTGATATAGGCTATTATTACAATCTTTACTCCTATTTTTAAAACTTACTTGCATGGTTGACCTCCTTCTTATTTATGATTGTTGAAATAGGTCGATGGAAGGTGACAGCTTCAATCATCTTACCCATCATATCTGGCCATTTTCTAGTTCTTTGCACTGAAGTCTCACTTAAAGGATTCCTAATCTGAGGAATTGTGTGATTGAATTGTGACATCAACAAACAACAATAAGTCAAATTTGGTACGGAAAAATCAAGAGAAGGATGTAAACATAAAGTGCATGAACATGCTTTTCCATTTGTTGGTGATATTTCACTTACAGTATCTTGAAAATTATCATATTCACTTTGACATTCTCTGTGAGTGAGATTGAGGTGACTCTCTTGTGACCTTGTAAAACATCTGTTCAAAATAAAACTATCTACATTGTGTATACAAATCAAACCATTTACACTTTGTTTGACTGTGACAGATTTTCCTGATTGCATCAATAATTGAATAATCTTATCTGAAATTCCCGACTCCAATAATAATACTTCAAATCCATTTTGCATCTTTATGATATGAAAGCATGTTTCAGTGCACATTCTACTGAAATTTGATATTTTCTCAACTAATCTACTTTTTACAACAAACAAGTGGAGCACAAACAAGAAATTCAGAGCTCCCATTGATTTCATGGTATGTTTTCAATATAATCCTACAATATAGCAAAAGGAATAGTAATAAATCTAAATTCTTTTCATTTAACAATTCTCAGTACACCCTTTAACCTAAGATACATGGAATGTCAGAGTCAGACCAAATGACTTCAAATTGGACATGACAAAGTAGTGTTTGCATTGAACATGAGGTTGTAAAGATAATTCTAGTTTACCAATTTAAAAATAAGATGCGCTATGAATAAATATTCATGGTCTGGTCATCATGTAATTGCTGTTTTTAATATGTTACTTGTAATTCCCAATGTGCAATTCATGGATCCAACCCAGATTTTATTGTAATCCGTTATTTAAGACACTGGGATATTTCAAAGCCTCACAACTAATGAAGGCCACATACAATAGGACTTGGCCCTGAACAAGATATCTGAGCTTGAGGTCAAGAAAAGTTGGTCACAATGTCTTGTGAAAAACACAATTTTAAAAACAGGTTAAACTAAATCATAGAAAATACCTGGGATACAAAGGATTGTAGTGAATATTGATTGATTGACCATCGCCTTTAGTATTTATCATTTTTGCATCTTTCTTTACTTGTCAATAAAAAATTAGTGAACTCGTTCCATTCTGACCCTGCTTTACCATGTTCTTTACTTGATTTACTACTACTCAGGCTGGTTCCTAACAAAACAATGCAACAATTGGTAGGTCATCATAATAACAGCCAAAAAAGCTTTTGTAGGAAAACTGACACTGCCACCATACAAATCAATGTTCTGTCTATTAAAAATTATATGGATGTTTTCAATAATAAGATGTGTTCTTCATATACAATAATTTATTCAAAATAAAATTTATTAATCATATAATATACAATAATTACAAAATGCTACACATTTTAGCCTGTGTAATGTTAAACCAGGATTAATACTATACCTTTATTAGATAGAACTATGTGGGAACATTCATAACAGATTAATTTGTCACAGTTTCTGAGTTTTGTTCATATTATAGAAGGAATAAAAAAAAATTTAAAATGATTGTAACCAAATTATATGTATAATAAAAGATGATTTGTGATTAAATTAAACTAGATTAGGCTAAGCTTAAAGTTAAATCTTTTCCTTGAGCTGTACACATGAGAGATATCTATTATAAAACACAAAGAAACAAATATTATCAACAAAGAGTTACATATCACTTTCTTGTATACAAAATATTCAGCAAACTGTCGATGTTTTGTTGGCAATAGCTTAAAACAATCGATTTTCATAAAATGTCATTAGGCTACTAAAGCAAAATAGAAGGGCTACATTTATTGTAGTATTAAAAATCTTAATATTTCAACTTTGCTAGTTTTTCTCCGATTAATATAATTCCTTTTATATTTCAACATCACAATTTTCTATCATGTTAGCTGTGTAGTGATGGTAAAACTGTTGACAACAGTGGTATTTTGGTAACATTGGCCAGATTTAGGGTGGATGTATTTTAACATGAAGGCAATAACATAACATGAATAGCATGGCTTGTTCAAGTTGGTAATAATGAAATTATTTGAATTTTATGTTTTTACTGCACAATTTGAACATGGGGTCTTTATATGGTAGGCTCGAACAACCAACCCCATATTGATGGAGGCCCATGTATTATAACAGTGATAAAAGGTAGTTTTCAATTAAATAAGTTAAAATAATTAAATATTTTCAAACTAAAAATGTTCCTAGTAGTACTAATGTAGGAATATATTTTTTTACATAACATGAACAAGTTAACTAGGTAGGTACTGCTACGCAAAACACAGACAAGAGATTTGCTTTTTTCCAATACTACTCGACATATTTACAGTAATAAAGTAATTATTTACATGACGGTAAATACATATACATAAACTTACATCGGTCAGATGTTGCATGCTAGGCCTTTCAACCAGTCACACCGGTCATCATCATGACCAATTGATGACCATTAACAAATGTTTTAACATATTGCTTTTAGTAAAGAGATCTCTATTTATTAAAACACTATTCCTAGTGCATTTGAAACATACCTTACCTATTTGCTTTTCACTGTAGTAGTTTTGACTATTGATAGAGGTAGACATAGGCTAATAGTTCCATGTTAATAATGTAGCCAAATTTTAGAAAAATACCCCCGCCGCAGCAAACCTGCCGACTAAGCGAATTTCCATTTGTCTGAATTGATTTTCAGTTAAATATATTTTAATAACATTAGGTTTAACGAGTACCTAGGTTTGCTGCTACAAGGAAACTAATAAAGTGTGTTTTTGAGTAAAATATTGATAGCTTAGTACAAAATAAATAAATTTGCCAAGTTTGATCAAAATATATCCATAAACAAGCAAACTACAACATTTGACAATATTCTCCATAAGAATAACATGGGAATTTTAAATTTACAATTTTTTTAATTTTCTCTGTTACTAATAATTGAACAAAAATTCTTTTATATACTAAATTATTTGTTTTTTTAAGCTCTTTAAAAAGGTCTAAAGAGAAATCGGGCAATTTTGTGTTTTGAGGGTCAAAAGTGAGAAAAACCAATTTTTACCCCATAAAACCCCCCGTAAAGCCCCGTTCCCATGGTCCGATCGTGCTGGTTCGCGAACTCAATCAAGTTTATCCCGCTTTAAAACTTTAAACCAAATTTCATCAAAATCGGACAAAAATTACTCAAGTTATCGCGTTCACGGACGTATATATATATATATATATAAGTCTATATATATATACATATATAATATATACATATATAATATACATATATAATATACATATATAATATACATATATAAAAATTTGAACGAATGGTGTTTTTGGCCTCTGGGGACATCAAAATGAAAAAGTAAATCGGTCCCGGGTCTAGTTCTTACCGTGCCACCTACGGTAATAGCTACTTTCCCTATAGGGAAATTCGCTAAAATGAACCTAGTTGAGCCAATGACAGTGTTTGATGTTCTTAAACTATTGATTTCTGTTGAATACATCAACTTTTGACCAAGGCAAACGAAAAGGACAAATTTTAATATCCATAGCATTATTTATGTATACACTATCACAGATACAAAAAAACCTGAGGTATAATTTTAGACTGCAGCTACGATTGGCTTGTTCACACAGTGGCGTAACTATGGGGGGGATGAGGGGGATAGAACCCCCCCCCCAGAACCCTTAAATGAAAATAAATATTTGAATTACAGCAATCCTACTTCTTTAAAATACAGTTGCTCAAGTTGAGTGAAGTTTAAAACTGAAACTGGTGATTTAGTTTTGATTTGGTTTTATCAATCTAATTCGTTAAAATTATTAGGTAGTTCATTTGTATATTAAACTAATTTTAAAAGGTTTATTTAATTAATACACCCAGGTAGCGGGAGTAAATTTGGAGAGTGGTAGTGGTAACACTGCAAGCATGCACTGTAAGTCCTAAGCAGACGCCAGACAGCTTTTAGATGTTAGTTACTAGTGCTGGCAATTAAAGTTTCTAAAAAAATCAATGTTATTATGTGTATTCTGAAATATCAGAGTCGTCAGGAAGGTATTTCACCCAAATCTAAAACTTGGAGAAACTGCAATAAGTTGCGAATCACATGAGTATTTACCGATAGTGGTACTTCTTAATCCAGAGAGATAATATTTCCTGAATCTGACCGTCAGGAGACAGCCTCAATCGGGTTGATTTTTGGAGTTCTTTTGAACGTGATTACACCTCTGGAATGCCTGGAAATGCAAGTTTAGAATTCTATTTGTTACAAATTTTCCGAGCTCATACACCCCCCCCCCCTCAAAGCCATATTTTCTAGTTACGCCACTATATTCACATATGTTTTTTTTTCATACAAAATACCCTTGCCGCAGCAAACCTGCAGACTAAGCGAATTTCCATTTGCCTGATTGGATTTACAGTAAAATGTCTACTTAAAAATATAACATTTTATTTCCTATTTAAATAGAATTAGTTTAACAAGTACTTAGGTTTGCTGCATCAGGGAGGGTAAAACTGTTTTTTTTTTTTTTTTTTGTAAAATGTTAATAGTTAGTAAGAAATAAAAACATTTTCCAAATTTAATCAAAATATGTTCATAAACAAGCAAACTACAACAGTTTACTTGTTCTCCATAAGAATAACATGGGAATTTTAAATTTACATTTTTTTGGAATTTTCTCCGTAATCATTAGGCGCTTCAATAACGCTTCAATATACTAAATTATTTGTTTTTTAAGCTCAGCAAAATGGTTTGGAAAAAAATTGCTAAATTTTATGTTTTTTTGGGAAAAACCTATTTTTGCCCCATAAAACCCTCGTTCCCATAGTCGGATCATGCTAGTTCGCGAACTCGTTCGAATGAATGTAGGTTTACCATGAGTACCACAGTAATAGCTTATTCCCTATATGGGAAATTCGCTAAAATGGCTAAAGCTGGTCCAGTGGTCCATATAGATGAGGTGTCTACTTCAGTATCCCTAAGGCCATGCTAGAGGAGAAGTTTTCTGTAATTCATGTTTCAAAGTAAACAACTATGATATCTACAATGATTTCTTTCTTCTCATGACCTCATTGTTCTTTAGCCCCCTTAGTTGCCATTAATAGCTCGTATAACTGCACAACTTGGTCTTCTCTCATATGTTCAAGAGTTTTTTCATCAATATATGATCCCACGTCTAGTTCAGGTCTGGGCTCATTCATTCCTAATTGGTTTGCTAAAGAGACTGCATAATGCTGAAAAATAAATATTGTTACAGTTAACTAATCAACAAAAGGGTTGATAATCAACAAAAGGTTTTTAAAATGTATAATGGAATACAGTAGTCTCAAACTATCCGCCCTTCGGTTGTCTGACCTTCCAACCCTCCCTATAGGCGATCGAGTATTGTGACATTGTTTGTTTTTTCATGTGTTAAGATTGTATTGTAGTGGATGAGTTGAGATACTCTTTCGTCGCTCCTGGCTGAAACGCACGACTTTGGGGACCTGCACTTAACTGTACTTTCCTATTACTTTAGCGTGGCTGTAAATCAAAGTTCGAAATACAATTCGAAATTCCTGGTTTTAACCGTCACTAGTATGTAGGTATAAACAATTAAATACCAATAATCACCTCTTACTTTTATATAAAACATTACTTTTAGGCTTTAAAAGTTATTTCTGATAAATAGGCTTTAAAAATTATTTCTGATAAATAGGCTTTAAAAATTATTTCTGATAAAAAGAATACAACTGACCTTAAATAAAACTAAATATAGGCTCAATAAGATGTCTGACTTAAGCGTTCTACGAAAACATTTTACTTACAGTCCATTCCATCATAAACTGTGCAGTTTCTACAGGATTGCATTTCTTGTGTCGTTTAAATTCGTCTTTCACATAGTTGTCTCCCAGGGTTTGCAAAGCTTCAGGCAGGCCTTGATGCAATCGTAGTATTGTTTTGTAAAGGAGTCTGACTTTTGTTACATGTTGTACTCCTGAATTCATTTCACTTTTTAGCTAAAAAGAAAAACAAATATAATTAAACAAGCATGTGGTATTTTTAGAAATAGATTTCATAAAACAAACTTTCTTTGTTACCAGCCACTCTTAAAAGTATGAATAAAAAGAATATTGCATTTTATGATGAGACGCTTTAGCAATTTAGCAATGTTTTACACTATCTTGCAGTACAGCAACATTTTTTTACTATAGAAAAACCATAAACAGTACAAAAAACATCCAAGCATGTGGGAATCAGATGTCTATCAAGAAGATAGGTGCTTGGTACATACGAGGGCAGTTTTTAAGTAAGGGCCGGTTCCGCATATAAATCCGTAGTTCACTTGTACACCGCAATGAGGCTCAACACCATTTACTGGCATAATTTGTGAATAGAATGACACTAATTACAGGTCTGTATGTAGTTGTCATGTCCGCTTCGCTGTTTATTTTCAATTTTTTTTTTTATTTAATCTCCCAGTGCGTCCCAGGTAAGGCCAGTGATACATTTTTTGATTACAAGAAACATATCCGATACTGACATTCATCGCCAAATAACTGAAGGTGATGTCCCTAATGTAATGAGTGAGGGTAGAGTGCGAAAATGGGTTATTGAGTGTAAAAATGACCGTAAAATCCTTTTTACTTAGTGGTCTTCTTTGAGAAGTCTGGGTACCCACCAAAAACACAATTCCTTCCCAAATTAGCATTTTCTCGGCTATTTTTAAACTCCCTATCCTATTTCTGCACTTTCAACGCTATCTTTACCAGGGTCATAATCTCCAGTCATCTGGCGATGAATGTCAGCATCAGATATGTTTCTTGAAATCAAAAAACATATCACAGCGAAGCGTACTTGTCAGCTACAGAGCTGAAATTTTTCATTCTGTTCACAAATGATGCCAGTATATGGTGATGAGCCTCATTACGGCGTACAAGTAAGCTACGCGAAACCGCCTACTTAAAAAACCGCCAACGTAGTTTTCTTTGTCGTCACATGGTAGTAGTGCCCTTATGCACTCTACTTTCCCCTCTTGTTCTGAAAAACCATTTCAAGTATATCTTAGGTCTAGTTTAAATAACTGTTGCAGTGTGTGTGTGTGGGTTTTTAGGAGGGATACTTCAAGTGTTTAAAATAACTGGATATCTTTCCAGTATAACTTAGTAGTCTACAAGATAACAATTTAACTTGAAAATGAAGATTGAATTTTTGTTTCATTATTCAAATGTCGATTCACACACATCAGTTAGGGCACGTCACATCAGTCATGTCGCAGAACAAAAATATATTCTTTAATGGCTTTTCTTTTGCGCTACCTAAACTCATCCGGAGCAGTTCAGACGCAGATCCGTCAGTCAATTTCAGATTTCTTTCCACAGATATTTTTGGATTGTCCTCACGCCTGACGAATACTGATGGTCGTGTCATGTAGGCTATGTGTTTGACATTAAAAAACAATAATTTTGTTTTTTAAATAATTGTGTTTAATTTTAAGTACCGGTATTGTTTGTAACAATCATCAAAGATAGATGATGAAAAATTGATAAGAATATTGTATTTAATAAAAAAAAATTACTATAACCTCACTGTAAATAAAGTGACGGAAGCCTGACTGAAACCAACTGACGGACAGTTGACTGAGGAATTGCGGATACAACTGAGACTGAAATGTGACTGGACTGTGACGGAACGATAACTGGGCTGATTTGTGTGAATAGGTACTGTGAATCAACCTTAACATAAACTTAAATTTAAACTGGGAGTCTTTATTCATGTGGTCATAACCAAACAACTGCTAATGCTGGGACAAGTAATGCAGCCTGGATGCCAAGCTTAGAATTATTTTGCTTGGTCTCTAGGTTAACAAGTACGCTTTTTGCAATTGCTTGACTGTTAGTTAGGTCTGAGCAATGGGTTGTAGAAGACGTTGTTTCCTCATCCCGAAGTAACTGGCTTACACAGTTAAGGAAAGTCATGATGACTTTATTGAGGATAATCCACTTGGCATCTAACTTCTCTTTGTATATATCACAAGTTATACTAAATTTACTTAGAGGGAAACCATAACAAACAGATTAGTGAAAATTTGTATTTGTTTTCTTTGCTTCATCCATTAATTAATCACTGTTGCATTATGAGGATGCCACTAAGATGTGTTGTAACCCTTATTATATAAATTGAAGGAAAGTGTGGGAATAAGCCTTGAAAGGTGAATAGGTCTTGCACAGAGGTCTTGTGTTATACAAAGTAATAGATCTGCGTTAAAACTGAATTAAATCATATGTAAGAAACCAGGTGGTTCCTGCAGGGTAGGAGCATTGATAGCCTATGTTTTCGAAAAACCAATGTTTTTCTATCGATGTTCGATGTTTTTCACATCGATGGTAGGCTACCGATGTTTATGTTACCATCAATGTTTCCGTCAAAGATCCATTATTTTCCAAAACCAGAATTGAATTTATTCCATCGAAAGTCTAATGAAATGTTAAATAACACAAAAATTACCCAAACTGGACTAGACCTAGACATTAATGAATAGGCCTATAGACTATAGACTACGGTACACCGGCGTACTAGAGTAGAGTGAGATAACACAGTAGAGTGAGGAATAAAGACATTTTTGGGGGTAACTTATATTACTTAGGTGCTTGTTCTACTTAAGATAAATGCTACAAAACTCAATTCATTTGTATTCAATTTTAGCGGCAGCAATCATGCTCCAGCATAATCAATTAACTTAATTAAGACCAATATTTCGTCTTACAAGTTTGAAAGTGAAAGTGTCAACCTAGAACCTCTAGTTATTAAGTAGCTAGTTTGAGGTGGAAAGCAGACAAAGACTCAAAATGGAAAAATACGTCGTTTATTGAAAGGCTATTATTTTTCCTGAAAACATCAATGTTTTTGCGACAATAATATCGGTAGGCCTACTTTGATGGTTGATACCAATGTTAACATCGATGATTGATACCGGTGTTAACATCGGTGGTAGACCTATTGATTTTCATCCCTACTGCAAGGCTACTTACTATTTTAGCGTTGAAAGGTCCTGTTCAGTCTCTGACGAATAGCTATTGTTCTGATCAAAATCGTGCTTGGTTATTCTGTACCTACTAAATAAAACAATACAATTTAATATTTCAGAATTAATAAAGAATCAAATGTTTATTTTCAGTTAGAAAAATTATATACGAAGTAAAATATAAAGTATAGTAAGATATAATACACAGTCTAAATAATAAAAATATAAACTGACAATTAAGATTATTATTTAGCGTTTTTTATTGCAAATTATGTGTTAGTTTTATTTTTATTTTAGTGACAAGGTATGTAGGTTAGGTAACTAAGTTTACCTTTACCATGGATGACAGCAGCTGTTATCGTCTGCAAATGTATCGTTTTTGTGTAATTTTTTGGTGGCCCAATTCTATTCCATGAGGCTCCGAAGCACGATTTCTTTAGATTGTCTAGCATTGATTTTACTAAGAAAAAGCATAGATAAAACATACTCCTCATGTATGTTTTATCCTTGGACAAAGGCAAGAGTACAACTGCAATAAGCATTTTATATTTATACGCCAACCCCGAACGAAGGACGGGTATTCTGCTAGTAATAATAAATATATTAATAGGGCGAACATGTTTCTTGAAAACCTTTATCATCAGACTAAATTACTTACGTATTCTCGTCACAGCTCAATAAAATATGTCCATTCAGGACATGTTTCGGTGTTAAAACACCATCGTCAGCTTCAGGTATACATATAGAGTTGATCAGTAGTTAACATCGTCAGAAGATAAACACAGTACGAACACGAATAAATACATAAAACAATTAAACATTTAAGAAACGGGCATATTCTAACAAAAGATAACCGACCGCACAGGTAGGCAAGGGACAGACTAGACCAGTTGATGCTTATCAGTTGTGTGTAAGAGAAAGAGATATTGGGTAAGGATCAGCTGTTTTTGGATGGACGGAGCTATTTTGATGAGTGAATTAAAATGTCCAACAGCTCCGGGGCAAGCTGTTGGAATTAAAAACACATGGATTTTAATTTATTATCAGCTCAGTGTCAGTGTAACGTGACACGTCCGCCTAAGAAAAGTATATATATATATTTGATAGTTTTTAGTATAAATATGTTTATATAAATAGAATTAAAAATAAAACATGACGCAATCCATCCGAAATGTCGGTCAACGATGGAGAAGACAAGTATTCAAGTAAGTAAGTGACACTTCACGGAGATTTGATTTGGCGAACTGTTGTGCACCTCGGTAGCCTAGCCGTACAGTGTTCAGTCAGTCCACTGTCTAATAAATAAAGTATACTTTATATAAATTATTTATTATTAGACTGTGGTCAGTCAGTGACATATCGCATGGCATGGCGGTGGTATTTCAAACTTGTGGCAACTCAACAGTCAACACTATTTGGTTGGTAACACTGTTGTTAGGTAAACTTTTTGTGTGTTTCGTTTGGTAGGCTAGACTGCTAAGAAAAGAAAGAAAACAAAAAAACGAAAAAAGAAACTAGTAAAGTAAAGAAAAAAGAAAGAAAGAAGTAGTGATGGGCGATACGGACGCGTATCGCGATACAGCGATACGATACGTATCGGAAAAAAATATCGTATCGCCGTATCGAATCGGGCGTCTGTATCGCGATACGCGAATCGTATCGTCAAAAATATCGAAAAACGATACGTATCGTATCGTTTTCCCCCTCCCCTACCTAACCTAGAAACGGCTAATTTATATAAGGACCTGGGGACCAAGCTTTGCTCGGGGAAAATCATTAGTTTACTCTGAAAACAGTCTTAGTATTGCAGATACATTAATCCATTTCCACACTCCACGCTGCTCGCCTTTACTACTTCCTTTACAACTCCCTACGTCTTGGACATGTTTCCCTATCCTTCCGATATCATTTTAGGATTGCAGATACATTAATGTAGTAATTGTCACAGACAGTTCTCAAACTCTGCACTAGTAGATAGCACGTTAGTGGAAATGGACTGGACTGGGATGGGACTGGTACATTATCAAGTAAAAACAAAAAATAGAGACGACAAAAACTCCTATTTCAAACTACACATCCACAGAGTACAGATTTTTCAGTTTGCTCGGCCTGCGAGAGCCTGCGCAAAAAAAGCTTAAAAATATCGTTTTGGCATGAATCGTATCGCTCTATGTGCCGATATAAATACAAATATCGTTTTAGGCGATACGATACGTATCGTTTTTCAAATATCGTATCGAAATATCGTATCGTCCCTCGCGTATCGCGATATTCCGATACGATACGATACGTATCGCACATCACTAGAAAGAAGTCACAGCCAGTTGCCAGATACTGAAATCAGTGAAATCGAAGTGACAATAATTATTAAAAAGCTAAGTTATTTTAACAGGCTAACACTAACAGCAACCCTAGCCCTAGGAGGAGACATCTAGAGGAAAATTTAGTCAAGCTCAAGCACAAAGGTGAGCCCGCTTCCCCGCTTTGTAGGCTAATAATATTAGGCTTAAAAGTAGCCTATAAGGCCTACAATTATTGTTGCCAGACTAAGATAATAGCCTATTCTTTGTTTGAAGTTCATTGTTGGTGATGGTGAGTTAATGTTGTTCAAAGGTTTATTGCGGACATTTTCCATCACGAATGTAAAAAAACAATACACAACGTTTCGGGATCTGGAATCTGATCCCGTCTTCAGGTGAAAAAACTTAACTAACACATTACAACTAACAAAACACAAACGTCCAACCTAAGTTGGAAAACACTACCGAGGGTAGTAGTCAAAAAATATGCACTGTATAGCAGTCAAGTCATGATACAACATGCAATTAATAACAAATCACAAAACACTATAATCTATAAAAGGTTTACGTACAAAAAACTCACACAATGGAACACTAACAACACCGTACGCTATGACTCCACCAATGAGACCCGGGTCTCATTGGTGGAGTCATAGCGTACGGTGTTGTTAGTGTTCCATTGTGTGAGTTTTTTGTACGTAAACCTTTTATAGATTATAGTGTTTTGTGATTTGTTATTAATTGCATGTTGTATCATGACTTGACTGCTATACAGTGCATATTTTTTGACTACTACCCTCGGTAGTGTTTTCCAACTTAGGTTGGACGTTTGTGTTTTGTTAGTTGTAATGTGTTAGTTAAGTTTTTTCACCTGAAGACGGGATCAGATTCCAGATCCCGAAACGTTGTGTATTGTTTTTTTACATTCGTGATGGAAAATGTCCGCAATAAACCTTTGAACAACATAATAGCCTAGTTTCTTGTTTATTTTATTCTAAGATTTTTTCAATCTAAGTTAGTAGGGCCACTTAAAATGAGTTATTTAATGCTGTTTTGGTTATTGTTTGCGTACTACACGTCACCTAAACGTTGCCTATTTTTTATCTTTGTAAACAGGTTGGAGTAAATAATTGAATTTTTTTATAGTAGCCATTTTTATGGTTTTGTAAATATTGTATATAGTTTTATTTTATCTGATTATATATTATAAATTATGACACAATCTATCAGACTAGATCTGTCAAAGATGCAGGATTCAAGTATTCAAGTAAGGATTCAGGTATTCAAGTAAGTATTCAAGAATGTTCCTCTAATGATTCCAAAGAAAACTCTATTTCAGGACAACAAATTGAATTTCCGTTCGTGTATCTTTGTGTTAGTCTAGGCTTTGTTCAGCATAGTTTCATTGTGATGAGTTCCTAGGCTTAAGACTAACTTAAGCCTAAGCCTATGCCTAAAATTAACTAAAAATAAATTACTGTTGGCTGAAACCTTCTTAACTTAGAGCACGTATCCCCTGATAGGCCTACCAGGACACGTGTGATTCCCTGGTCTTTCAATACTCCCCCCCCCCCCTTAATCAATACCAATCAAGAATCAAAGAGCATAAGTTAACTTATCTGATCCTACTATTCTTTCCCTCCTTCCAGTACCGTACCCTTAATCTAAGCTCAGTTTACACAACCCGATCTCGGGGACTCTAAACCGCCGATCGGACGTAAGAATCCAAAATTCTTCACTGCTTCACGGATAATTAGGCTATTGTACTTTTTTACACGAGGTCCCATATTGAGGAAATCAGTGAAAATTGCGAGTGTCATATGTTTGAAATTCCGGGGAGGTCTTCAGCATCCAATACGTCCATAAGTCTTGCATAACTCAATTCAGGTCTTTGTAGGTAAATCTGTTTCATCCACATCCTCTTTTTCCTCCTTCTTTTTTGCACGCCGCCAATGCAGTTAATAATGCTACTCCAACAACTTGCCACTTCGATAAATACGGAGCCATTAAGCTTTACACTTTGAAAACTTACAAGCTTTACAAAAAAAAAACCGCTTGTTAGCTAATATGACATTCTTCAACTGTGAAGGAAAGCAACACACTGAGCTCAGGTCGGGCGCAGAAAACGCGGTTGTGTAAATACAACACTCTGTCGACCAGGTGATGGGACAGAGGCTAGATCTTGTAATTAGGGGTCTCAATCTCGGGCCTTCAATCCAATCCCGGGATTTCGGGATCCGTCTCAGCTGATCCTGGGATTATATTACCTAGGCTATCTTGTGATATTAACTTTTTAGCCATTTTAAATGAGCGTGAAGTTCCCTTGTTGAGTCCTCTATTGTTTTAAACTGGCCTTAACATTGTTACACTGCACAATTTTGCCGTTTTATAAGTAAAGAAATATCTCAACACAGAACTTTCGTCACCCGTCTTTCTTATTTACAGTGTATAAATGTTGATATGTCACGCTTGAATTAAATAAACACATAAAAAAAATGTAGTAAATGTTACGCTAACATGGAAACTAAATAAATCAAAATAAAAAGATAGGCTAATATGGCAAGAATCATGAGTAACAGAGTTAAAAGGTTATGTTGGTATGTTGACTGACAGCAATATTTATCATAAGAACTTAAATAGGCCAAGCCTAGGCTAGCTCTCGTTATATTATGCTAAGTAAAAATACATTTATGTATGAACAAAATGTCAATGCTCTTGTTTGTTGACAAGACTAACTTAAATGGTCTTGTCTACAGGAGCATGGTGTCCATCGACCAGGACATGTCATGGCAGTGAGGCCTTGGTGTAGCCCATTAGTATGGAGTGGTCCCGATCAGGATTAGAGTCCCGACCATGTTTGGAACTGTTGTCATGGAAGGTAGAAATTTATTCATACAGTAACTTATTAGACTTATGTAGCCCACCTTTAAACAGTTTATATGACATAAGTTATAATGACATTTTACAATCTACATGCATGACAATTTGTGGATTAGTTAATCAATAACAAATAGCCTACATTCAAGATTTGTCTGCTAGGTAGGCTTAACAAGAACTTAAGCTTAACAATAACTTAAAATGATGTAATGCATTTTCAGGTTTAAACTTTTGTTATGTTAAGTTATGTGTGATGTTTGTGCAGTAAAGGACAAAAGGATTAAAAAAGGAAAACAGGTAATCATGATTACCTTCATTTTACGTTCAAGCCTAAATGTAGGGTTTTCTGGTTAATGGTGTTATTTATTTTGTGATCATGAAATATCTTAGAATATCCAATGTAGGCATAAATTTTTCTATCACAAACAATTTTCAACCAAGTGTAGACCATAAACAAGAATTATTGTTTTGTAATTTTTGATTCATGGAATAAATTATGTTTGATTTGATTTGAACATAATTAACTACAAATATTGTTCTAGGCTAAGTCAGATAAACTTTAAGTGATGGTAGATTGTTTTATAATGAAGAAGAGGTTAGTGGCCTCTTTTAACCTTGCATTTTCTTGTCACATAGGGCTCAGATCTGTGTATATTTGTACATAATTGTATCAAGAGGGTGCAGTCCCAGAGTTGAACTGTACTGATAAAATGTAGTGTTAGTGTTAGGTATTAGGATCGGTACCCACGACATTGCTGCCATTGATCCGAGGTCCCTTGCTACAAACTTAGCTAAATTCATTAATTGTCACTTTATTCATTGGGTTCCATCTTAAATTCCAGTCTTCATAATCTTTTTTCAATTCTTCATTAACAATTTATATACAGGTTGACAATTAAGTCTTGGGATAACTTTATAACTTTAAAACAAGAAAAGAGATTTCACAACGAAATGCGGCATATAATATATAATATCATTAACTGGTAAGAGTTTAAGCTACTTCTTCTTTGTGTATGATGATCGGATGTCCGGATGTCACCTATGGGGGACGGCCCATAGGGAGTAAGTGGAACATCTTAAAGGTACCTAAGCATAGGTTGACATGTTAAATTAAATTAAAGGTCTTGTTGAACCAAAAACAATGCCGCAAACCGCACCTTAAACGGACAACCGAGTCAAAAATTACAGCCATTCAAAGATTTCTTGAATCTGACATTTTGAATCTTTAAACGGCTTTTACTCAAGTGTCTTTTTGAGCCCAAATTTGCGACATTGTATTCTACTAATCAAGACCTTTAATGTGATGTGCATATCAACTTTTGCATCCGTTTCAGATTTTCTTCCGTCTTCTAGTGGGCGCCCCCGTGAGGAATTGGCGTATGATAGCATTGTAAATTAAATGAATCATTGAACAGCTGTTATTTTTGACTCGGTTGTTTGTTTGAGGTACAGTTTGTGGCATTATTTTAAGTTCAACAAGTCAAGACTTTTAATTTGAGATAGTACCACATTAACCTATGCCTTTAAGACTTAAACTTACACCCTATGGGCAGTCCCCCATAGGTGACATCCGATCACCATGTACACAAAAAAGTAGCTTACTCTTACCAGTTACAATGATATGCCAAATTTTGTTGTGATATCTCTTTAGGGTTTAAAGTTATAATGTCGTACTAAGACTTAATTGTCACCCCGGTATATGACAAAGTTAATAGTGTATAGGTAGTTTGAAAAACAAATTGATGTTTTATCAAATATTTTTGTGTTTCAACAGGTGGACGTGGAGTGGTGTGGGTTCTGGTTCCCGGAGTCACCACCCTCCAGCCCAAGCTCGGGAACGGATGTTGATTGGGAAACCGTGGTTGCTGGTCTAGGGCTTGTTGGAAAGCTTCCAATTTGCTCCCATTCTGCAACGTCTTCCTACAAATCGGGTGAGTACTTTTCTTTTTCAACCGTATTATTAACCATTTAGATTTTGTTCTAACTGTTTTTTTGGGAAACTCAACGGGTGTCCAGCAACCGGAGAACACCGGGAATTATAGGCTACGGGAATATTATGACGCCGGGAACTATGCGGGAATTATACGGTAATTCGGTAATTATGGCGTAATGTGCTGGAATTTTTCTGGGATCGATTTTTTTATTTTAAATATTCAAAAATTATTGAGAGTCAAACAGAACACGTGTAAAATATTTCTCTAACCGGAAAAATATATGGGTGTAAAAAGCAAAATCAGCATGTTACGAACAGGACAGGCTACGAGCGCCATTTTCTCGAAGCCGTCCAGCCCAGGACCAGGATTTGTGCTACTAGTGTTACTACGTCAGAGCTCGGTTTCCGAACGATGACGCAATGCTTGAATATATAACAACTCTAAACTGTATGTCTAGTGGCATCTGTGGTCTAATGTCTCGGCTGTCTGCTATGCTCGTCTAGATTGACAACTCAGACAAGCAATTTTGTTTTTGAGTTCTTATTGTTTACGGATGTCCAATACTTCTGGGATTTAGAGGAAATTTTAAATATATTAATATGTTAATAACCAATACGGTAGTGTATGATTTGTATTTTGTCAAGGTATATAAACTTATTTTTATATAATTTGAAAGTGACAAAACCTCAAAGCGATTTAGACATACTCTTTACATAATTTGACAGTTTCATCTGTTGACAAAGGATGTTGTGTCTATTCTTAATTAATCAATTTTGTATGTCTAGTGTATGAATGTAATGTAATGATTGTTCATTAATCCTACTCTTTATGAAGTATTAAGGCTTTTTGTCAGCGGTGTGATAACCGACGGAAGGCCTAGTATCGCGTGAACTGCAGCATTTGTCCAAACTGTGCTCGTCCAATATGAACCGTATGTCAAATATGAGACTGGCAAATATCTCAAGTTACTTGCACTGCACTCTCCTTTTGGCGTAATAGAACAGAAGGTCGAGAATCGCTTGACAAGATAGCGAAAGAAAAAGAGAGAATAAGTTTTGTTTTCTGATTAGGACGTCATTAGAGCCAAAAATGTTGGTTTTACAGCAAAAACAACACAAATTTGAGTTCCCCTACTACCTTAGTACCATATTTAATTGTTGTGTTTTTAATCAATTAGGCATACTCTTAAAACCCCGCCAATCTTAAATGCACTTAGTATAAACATTCCGACTAAAGTAAAACCTGAGGGTGAGGGTCTATTTTTAGCCCAGTTGGACAATAGGCAAAAAAATGGTAAGACGGAGACGGATTGTAGGGGTATCCCTGACGACTTACAACAAACTACATAGGTAAATATAATTTAAAATGCAGCAAGCTTTTAATTTTAACTAGTGATGGTCAGATCCGGATATCGGACTACCGGATCCACCGAATCCGAGCTAGAACCGGCACCCGATCGGATCCAAAAAATTCTGAATCTTGGGCTGGGTCTGGTTTTGATGGATCCGATTTTTTCCGATTTTTTCCAGATTGTTTTACTAACACAAAGCTGTCTGTATCCATGTACAAGACCGATTTTCCCCGATTTTTTTACTAACACAAAGCTGTCTGTATCCATGTACGCTCATCTAGACTAATGTGGCGGACGTCCGGTCCCAATTACGAAAAATCCGGACTATCGAGAGTCGAGCAAATACACAGTACTGTATATAGCCGTTTTTCAATTTTGTTCCAGGTCCACATTAATGATACCCGCGCATATGCACTTCCACCGGTAACAATTTTTACCGCCAAATTTTGTTCCAGGTTCACAGTAAAGATAGCTGGGCATATGCACTGCCACTGGTAATAATTTTTACCGCCGTGTTATCCGGTTAATCGGTCTTGTACATGGATACAGACAGCTTTGTGTTAGTAAAAAAAATCGGGAAAAAATCGGTCTTGTATGCCTGGATCGTCCCTTGCTTATCTCTTCCTTAAATTTATTTCCAGGTCCACAGTACTGATAGCCGGCTATGTGAAACTCTACAGGTAAAATAAAAATACCCTGTGTCTGTGTACACTGTTATCTGTATCCATACAGGGTGAATAAAAAAGTCAAGAATTCCCCATCTAATATTTTTCTAAGTTAGAACACAGTATAGTCTTCTTGTACACAGACACAGGGTATTTTCCTTGTAGAACTTCACATCAGGGTTGCCACCAGCCATGAAAACCTTGAAAAGCGTGAATTATGCGTGAATTTAGGTGACCATGAAAAAGTGTGTGAATTATGCGTGAATTTCGTGATTGGACCATGAATTCTCAAAATCATTATTAACAATTCAGCCAAAACCCCTAAATGTGCTGAATCAAATACTCCGTATTAAAACCATTCTCGAAATGAACACCGAGATAAAACGTCAAAGTGGGAGTGTCGAGATAAAAAGTTTTGTTGCCATGCCACGAACAGAAACGATTGCGTAGTTTATTCAAGGTCAAATTCGATCGTAACCGACGTCAGCCGAGTAGTCTAGAGATGGGAATTATCGTTGTTTTCCGGCAACGGTTATAACGATAACGCAGCTGCCCAATAACGTGTTGCGGCAACCTGTTATTTCAATAACGATTGCCAACTCGTTGCCGCTATAAACCGTTGTCCGCCGGTCGGTGTTGCGGCGTTCAGTTATCATTGTCGGTTGATCAGTTCAGTTTTCAGTTTTAGTCAGGAGTCGGGCGTTGCCGCGTTGTCCAGACAGGATGCGTTATTCTAGTTCGTTTCAGAAGTTATCGTTGCTCTGGTAGCGTTGCGGCAACGGCACTAATGGCAATGCATGTTTTCGTTTTCGTTGTCCGCGCGGCTTTCCTGCAACATTGTGTAGATAGATACGTTATTATAATAACAGGGAGTTCTCCGCAACGTATTGCCGCGATAACGTTGCCGTGGCCGCAACACTGTTATTCATCCTGTTATGTTATAACGCCCATCTCTACCGAGTACCGATCTACCGATAAAATCGATGCTTTCGGAGCTAAAACATCGATCACATCGATGTTTGTTCAGAGTTTCTCGTCTGTTCTCTGCACTGAAATAGCCAATTAACCTAAAACCAATACAATTCAGTTACGGAAAACATCAATATTTCATTACTTTTGTTGGCCTAAAAGACCGATGTAACAAACCAAATCATCGGTTCGGTAATCTACCATCGATGTAAACAAATAACTTCGAACATCGATAGAAAAGACATCGATGTTTCGAAAAAATCGACAATCGGAATTTATGCTCGCTCTCATTCTCTACTCTCTACTCTAGTGTTCGTGTGGAAGGAAATTCAGAGTAACCATAACCTACAAGTTTTAAACTGATCTGAAACTTAGAAACGAGTCAAACGTTTAAAGTAGTGGTGGACACTGGACAGTAAGATCACTTGTTGCACTCGTGATTCCGTTTTGTGCTTCTTATAATTGATTACCCAACACTCAGTGGAACAAGTGTTCAGATTAAATATTTTTTATTACTGATATATTATACTTCCGATACTTAACAACGTTAAAATAAGAAGTACCTTGCCTTGCCATAAAGGTCAAAATGGCTTGCGCCGGCTGGAACTTAATCGTCTGCTGTGTTTGTTTTGGTCAAATATGTCGTCATTTCAAACTACTGTCAGTTTTTAGTAAATGTGTTACAACGTGAGATTAAGTTTATTTATTTAGGCCTAAGTTGCAAGAAGTCAATGTTGTGCTGAAAAATGGTGATTTCGTTCTGAGGAAGGTAAATGTAAATGTTTTGTTGAAGCATATAACTAGGTGTTTTCAGTCAATACGAATCTAACTAATGAGATGTAAATTTAATTAAATAATTGTTTTAACTGTGATTTAAACCTGTGTAGGCAAATAATAATATATAAACTGATCCAATCTGAAGAAACATCCTCCTAACTAAGTTTATTTTAACCTTTTCTGTAATGTAATTAATTATTTTTTTATTACTTAATGTAAGTTAGCCTATGTCTAAACTTACATACATTCCATAATTTTTGTTTCGTTCTTAGCTTTAACTAAATATTTATTTACATAATCTTACCTTTTTAGAGTGTTATTATCAGTCAGTCGGTAACCTTTAATCTTCTCAATAAATAAAAGTTGGTTCAGGCCTAACTTAGCCTAGATTCAGCTTTGGATTACAATGTTGTAGGCTAGCCTACTGTGTTACTGTATAAAGTAATAAATTGCATGTGCGTTTTAGTAGGCCTAGATATGGCCCATTACTAAGATAACCGTTTCTTGATCATGTTCTTAACATTTGTTTTTATAGTAGCCTATTATCTTAATTTGATGTTTGGACAGTAAAGTTGTAGGCAATGGCTGGTTAAACCTTTTATGTTTAGATGCAATGTTTTTTAGGTTAGGCCTAGACCTAACTACCAATCCGACTTATTTTTTTATTTATTATTTCTTCTAACGTTTGAATTTATCATTAGGCCTATGATGTTGTTAAATCAGATGTTTCAATTTTTTAAATAATTACATCGTATTATCACACACAAGATTTTTATTAATATCCTTTTTCATCTGTGATTTTACTTTTTTTTTGACTGGATAAATTATATTAAATTCTTATTTTTTACTCTAAAATAAACGCATGAAATGTGTTTTATTTGATAGTAGCACACAAAACTGTGTATATTGTCGATAAATTAATGTACAATTCTGAACTAGGCAACACTCTTTTATGGTGAAATTGTGCGAGCATATACCCCATGAATTTTTCAAAACTACCAATGAAAACCTTGAATTATGCATGAATTTTTTTATCTCACTTTGGTGGCAACCCTGCACATGCACGGCTATCAGTACTGTGGACCTGGAACGAATTTAAGGAAGAGATTAACAAGAGGTGATCCAGGCATAAATAAATTGGATGCTGCATGCAAAAACAACGATATAGCATATTCAAGATTGAACTATAGTAATATATTCACAGATACATTTTTGGTGGGTGCAAACTTAGGACAAAGTTTCATTTTATGATTTTGAAAAGTTTTAGTGTCCCCAAAAAATGAGGGATTATGGGCTCAGGCCTCAACTGGACATTACTCTATATATAAGATGTATTAACACATTTAAACATTACCAATATAATTTTAAACCGTATGATTTAAATTGGCATTCTGTTAATTACGTTTGTTTAAACCCGCCCTTATGACAGTGTGTATCTGGATCCGGATCTTCGGATCTGGATCCAAATTTTTCAAGATCCGGATCCGATACCGACATTTTCTTGGATCCGCTCATCACTAATTTTAACACATTTCTAGCTTCGTTTTAAATGTAATTCACGGGAAACTACTTTTTATAATTTCAAATCCGGTCTTAAATCCTTTTGATTAGTGGGATTTTAGTAGCCTATTTAAAATAATTGCAACAAAGAATTTCACTTGTTGTTGTAACTGTGTAGTAGATGTGAATGAATGGTGCAGTGTTAAGTTTGTCCCAAATTTACGTATTATTGTAAATAACTCATTAATTTGTGATGTCCATCAAAATGGTGCAACAAATCACCAGCTCACTCCTAACCCACAATTCCGTGCAACTCTCCCAACTCCCAAGTGTTTTTTTAGATATTATTGATGATTCATTCAATTCCCATCTAACATGCCTAAATTTATAGATAGATTTATAAATTATTGATTGATAGTGACATTTTTACCCTCGTCACTGACCCTTGAAAGTTCTTGAACATACCTACATCACATGTACAAACAGTGTTGTTTATGTCATCAAAATGGTATATTACTAATTCCTCACATCATACAAGAATTTTGCTCATAATGAACAGGCTATAAAGATAGACAAAAAGCAATTGGAATTGCTATAACTATCCACTAAGGTTGGCAAAAAGGTGTTATTGCTTAACAGTGTAGTTTTCTGTTGAATATGTGATGTCAACGAGAAAATTATATGTTGTTTTGTTAATATTTAATTTAAATACCGGTATTGATTAAATTAAAGTTTCCCGCGTCATTATCTGTTTTGCGTGTAATTTTGACATAATAAAACCTGGCAAGCCTGGTATACTCACGGGGTTAACCGCTACGTGCTACGGCACTAATAGCCACCACCGCATAATTTCTCACTTGTGGCCACCCTTCCCCAACGGCCACATAACCGCTACCCCAACTTGAGGCCTTACCTCTTCTGCCACATAGATGGACCAAGGCCGTAGCCAGGACAAACTTTCGGGGGGGGGGGGGGGGGCAGGTCAGTGGAGGTTCTAGGACCTTGTCAAGGGGGGCTCCCGGGGCCCCCCCAATATAATAGGGCGGTCTGGGGGTCCTCCTCCGGAAATTTGTTTATATTTTTATAGTAGTTTAGTGACTTTCTAAAGCAATTTTTAACGCCTAAAACTGTCTCCAATCGTAAAAAAAAACTCCCATTTAACCTGTTTTTTGTCATAAGCAAGTAGACATTTTTACTAACTTAAACTATGATGATTGCATTCATAAATTTGTAACCATACATATCCTCCTGAAAACCGTTTGGTACTTTCTTTAGCCCCCCCCCCCCCCCCCCCACTTGGAACCACCACTGGGTCAGGTCATGACTGTGGATAACAGATTTAAGCACTTTTATTTTCCAAGATAGTGTTCTTACTGCATTTCGAGTGCGACCTTAAAAGAAAACCAATTGAATGCGATTAGTAATGGCTTTTCGGCTATAGGCTATTGGGGAGCATTCCAAAGATCTCGGTTCCATAGAAAACCTACATACAATTTTTCCCGGGTCACGAACACTTTGTACAACACTTGGTTGTCTTGATTTTCCATGCTGGACACCCTGCTTTGTATTTCAGAACAGCTTACTCCCTTTATTATACAAATATAGTAGTAGGCTAACCCCTTCTCTCCAACAATTGGTTTGGATTAGCAGGGTTTCGATTAGTGGGGCTTTGATGTAGTTGCTACCATAGACAACTTATCAATAGCATTCAATTGAATGGGCAGAGTTGGTAATACAAAGAATAAAGAGAATACTTGAAGCATTTTCAAAGCAATTGCGCATTGTTTTATGACATTGGCTGGTACTGATTAATTTGTACCCACTCCCTGCTGCCTGAATTGCTGTTGATTATGTTCACTGACTAATACATTACTCAGTGAATTATCTATTGAAGTATATAATCAACGGTTAAATTTGATAAATATTTATCTTTATTGTTTCAGTGAAGGTAACAGGTGTATTTCTTCTTCTGGGAATCGGCAGCTACTTATGTTACAAGCTGTACAAAGTTTGGTTGTACCAACATTTTCAAAGGATTGGGCTAGCTCGAAGAGATGACATTAACCCATCTTCTCCTTCTTCTTTTGCTGAGGGCACACCTGCATTCAGCTACCACCATTCGTCTAAAACACCATCTACTGTAAATGACTTCTTAAACGTCCAGGTAAGTTTTAGATTTGTTGTAAAAATCACCTCTATAGGCTTGACTGAAAATATCAGAATGGCTAACCTTTAGTTAAAATAAAATTGTCTTTTATTGTTGTTAGATCTTCATTTCCCTTTATATGGTAGATATTTACTGTGTTAAGAAGGGTTTAAACCCAAATTGGCTAATTCGAATTTTTCATTGCCGCATTATTCTTTTCTTTAGACCTACTTGACAAACACGGGCCATTTCCTTAACAATAGGTACTTAATGACATAAAGACAGGGGTTGGTGTACCAGTAGCTCAATCAAATTAACTAGAAAATTTGGTAAAACTATAAAAATGGTATCAGTATCGAGAATTGATAAATTTTGGTATCGACACATCAATTGTTGAAAAAACTAGTCTTGTAAAGTTGGAAATTAGTTATGAAAAGTCTGGCATTAGTCTTAAATTTTGAAATGGTAATAAACTAGACACCCTGACTTGACTCCCAAATCGTAAAATGTCTGTTAGGTACAGCCTTCAGCCTCTTTGTTGAGTTATGCTGTCATAGATAGTTGTGAATGAAAGTTTGGTTATATTACTAGGTAGCCATTTTATAGGTTTTGAGAGTTTAAATTTTCATTAGTATGAAGTTTTACTTCTATGAAAGCTCTTAATTTTGAAGATCGTATGTTTAAGATGTTGGGCAGTATAAAGTCAATCAGTTGTCTTTTGATCAGACTGTTTCTTTAAATGTGTGATTTTACTTCAGCTTTTATAGGTAGGATATAGGTATATCTACAAACTGTATGTTTTCTCATCAAGGATCAGCTTCTTTTCTTCATGTATAGAGTAAACTGAATTTAAATAGTTGTGTATTATTCAAAGTATGATAAATATCACTTAATGTTACAGACCCGTTACTTTGGACCTGTAAATGGGAATGATGATAACTATTCTGAAAGTGAAATGTCCAACTGTCATGATTTCACTGCTGCAGCAGTAGGCGTAAGTAGTGTGTCTACCCATACTTTTGTACTAAATAGTATAATACAAAAACATATAACGTAGTAACATCAAGTCGCTCCTGTATTGCAGATTTTTTTTAACTGTACACCCCAAAAATCTGTGAAATCAGTTTATCTGCTAATTCGTTATGACTCTGGTCCCGTCTTTACCATTGATAATTGGTCTAACTTTGATAATAGGTGTTACTGTGTATGATGTAGTGATGGCTCGGTTGCTGATTTTATCAGTTCGGTTTTGGTTCGGTTTTTTTTTTTATCGGTTTTTAGTTGTTGGCTTTTTTTTATAACACTTAATTAAAAACATTCTCTCTATTCATGTAAAGGTAATACAAACGTAAAAAATTGAAATTGTAACTTACTTTAGGTAAGGGCAATACAGCAATTGAAAGAAATAGATCAATAATTTACAACTAATAAAGTCATTGTCATCTAAATATACGTTACATAGTGCATCAGAAATAATTAAAATGTACTTGCCCCTTTACAAGGCTCGTAAGGACAGTTTACGCAACCTGTATGATATTAAACACAATGTTTCCACTTTCCAGTATCTTAACAGCTATCTCCCATTATAACCACAGCAAGGCAAACATGTAGTAGAGCGAAGGCCTCATTTTCATTTTAGACATCAAATTGAATTCACAAAGTAAAAAATGTTCACTTTTTCCTGCAGGAGCAGTCAAGTTGGCGACAATGGCCTAGAGAAAGAAGAAGGAAGTCAAAACTGAGCTCTCCTCCATCGGTGAACTCTCGCAAAGGATGGTTGCTGCAAAGGCTTCAATCTTTGACCCCGGCTAACTTACAGGTATTATATTTATTATTTAATATGTGTTTTTAGAGTTTCATTGAATGAAATGAAATTAAATTAAATTGAAATTAATGATATGAAAATCTTTCTTTATTGAGGTGAACTTAGTACCTCATGGTCCATTCTTACCGTTAACCTCTAGTGATGAGTGTTAAATAGTGGATTACTCTGTAAACAAGAAAACAACATTGAATGAAATCGACGCTTCCTCTTGAGGTTTCACGCTAATTCAGCCAACTACCATACAAAATGTGGTTGATGAATTCGTTGGATACAATATTTCCGGTTCTTTCATCAGCAACAGGTCGTCCAAAAGGTTTTCTGAATCCTACATTGCTTCTTGTTTTTGAACAAGAAGAAGCTCTTGCTTTTGAGCTTTGTTCATGTTAAAGCCTCATTAACCATACGGGAAAAGAAGATAATATGAAATTATTGGGTCTGTCGTCTGGTAGAGGGAGTTAATATTACAGATAGGCCTAACTGGTTCCATATCCTTAAATAAAAATCTTCAGGTCCTGTTTTGATCTTATTAGTAAATTGCCATCTTTGATTGTTAACAATTAATGATCTCATGAATCTCTTTCTTGAGTGTAATTATCATTGAAAGTAGGCCAAAAAGGCAAGTAGCCTACCCATACAATACTGTTGATTAACCTAACCCGATTAGGAATTAACAGTTCCTATGATATTGATATGTTCCACTGATTACGTAATATAATATTATTTTAGTTAATAGAAGCATAGATTTTAACATAAAACTGTGAAAATATATCATGAATACACATTTTCTTTCAAGCTACTGAAAAAACCTATTAGGCCCATGCAGTAGGTAATAAGTTTATAATTCACAAAAACAATGTAAATATTTCATTTTGACAAATTCAGTGAATGCTTATAACAGTAACCTTTGAAATACAATTTATTTTTAACAGCTGTTTCAGAAAATGATAGTGTAAAATAACCATACGGTTTTAATGTAAACAAATGTTGTTCACAAAATGTTATAGGCCACTGGAGCAGAGCCCCAAGGGAATTTACCTAGTTTCTCTTTTGATTGTCATGAATTGACCCAAGACCTTTCTTTAGACACCTCTACCAAGTTTCTATACCCAGCCGTTCTCTCAAATTAGCAAAACGCCGTTTTTCCTCCATGAGATGGAAAGAGAATTTTAAAGGCCGCTGGGGCAGAGCCCAATGAAAAGGTGTTTTCAAGTAAGTAAATCCTATTACATTGGATCAGAGCAAGGTAGCTGGAAGAAAAACATTGACGTGTGTTATCATTAGACAGTTCTATATTTTGTAGGTACTAATAAGCATTTAGTTTTGATCATCGCTAATATAAATGTCCATCTTACAAATTGTTTTAAGCTTTGGGATCCTTACAGGTGGGCAACAACAATGAAGACAAATGCAATAACAGGTATTCACCTCGAGACGGGAACAGCACAGGCACCTCGTCCACAAACTCAAGCCCAATGTCACACACCCGTCATTCTGTTTCACGAGACCTATCTTTTGATTCTCTGGGACTCTTCTATCGCACACGGCGTGAAGGTTCCATCGACAGTATGTCATCAGAGCTGAGCTTCGACATGCCATCCTTCACTGAACAATCTGCAGAGAATCCTACTGTCACCCGATTAGACAAGTTGCAAGAAGAGATTGATCAACTCAAGTCCAACTGTCAGCTGATGGATGAGGAGTTTGAGACAGTCAAGTGCAACCGCAATCTGCCAGGACTGTCTGATCTGATGGAGGCTGCCGAACCACAAGAAGGACAGATGACTATTGAAGACATTGTCAGGAGGCAGAGTGCTAAAGCTTGTTTTAAAGGTCAGTTGTTCTTCATCAACTTTTTTCGCTGTAAATTTGTATCAATAGAAAAGAGTTCAGTGTTATAAAAATAAACTACTTTGAAATCATAAGTCATTGCATTTCCAAAAAAAAATAACAATAAAATTAAAAAAATAAATAAAACCTGTGAAGGTAGCATATATTTTAGAAAATTTAGATAATACATAGTCTCAGATGTATAACGGCATAATAAATCCTAAGAATGAGCAAAAAGAAGCAAAATGCATGATCACAGGTACAAAGAAGCCATCCTTCCCATCATGTGTCGCTCACACATCTCTTATTTTAAAGGAAAGCCGTTAAAATCTCTCAAATGTTTTGTGGATATGCCGGGAATGAACCTGTTTCTCTTACACTGCAATCCAAGACATTTACGACTAGGCTAGCAACACACCCAAGTAGATTGCCATTTCTTCTGAAATTAATTTTTTATCATAAAAACAACCATTAGTTGGAATCATATACATTATTAAACCAGAGTTAATGCATGCCAGTCATTGATTTCAATTGTGGAACAATAGTTTGTCAAATACCAACTTCAAATTATAGGCCTACAGTTTTCATCAGAAACCATGTTTAAAAGAGCCATTAACACGTTGGGTGCTGATGACGGGAATTCCCGCCATTGCTTAACATTGAAATAAATGCAATTTTCATGTTCAAACATGTCAACGGCACTTTAAGTGTTCAAACATTATCAAACCTCTTATATTAAGTAAATTTGTATGTATAGCTAATGAAATGGAATTCATTAATGAAAACCATACTTATATTAGTCAACATGAACAAAACTGAAAAAATTCATAGTCTCATAAATTGTATATGAACTTTCACCCTGAAATGTTAACTATTCTAATCAGTTATTTGTGATAGGTCTGTACAGTTTGACCACAATCAACCGCAGCATGTCCATGGACCTGTCATTGGATGAGGACTCCCCTCAGTCGAGTACCCAGATTGGATTGGCACAACTAGACGAAGAGAGACTGCCTAGTTTGGAGTGGGATGAGGAATATTGTCCTGATGAAGAGAACAATTGGAAAGTTGCAACCCCCGTCAGTCCAAACCAGTCAGTATCTTAAGTTTTAAGGTATTAATCGGTTACTAAAATATGGTTCAGTGAAAAATATGAATAAAATTCTCAACCATTAATTTTGAATTAAAATACAGTTAATCCTTATTAATACTCTCATACTAATTGGGGATCAGAGTTGTCCGTATTATTAAAATCCAGATTTAATAATCAAATTTTAGTTTAGACCTTAATTTACGGACAACCCTGGTTAATAAGCTTTGAATTGAGCATTTTGAATTTAAATACATTCAAGTATTAAAGCACAATAAACCAAGAAAAAAATGTGAATATGTGTCAAATGGATGTATGCATTAATTGGATCTGGATAATAGGTTTTTTCAAAATTATTTTTCTCTAAACATTGACATTGTCTTTTTTATCAATGCCTGTTTCATGATTGATAGTTCTGCATGGAGATTTTGTTAGTACATACCCAAAAGTTCACTTAACAAACATCCCTGAATCATATTCATCATCAACATCAGTCGACTTTTCAGTGATGCTTTCTAAATTTGAAATCAAGATTTGAATAAAATAATTATTGTTCATCAAAAATTCTTCTTTATTTTTAAAGAAAGATTTCATCTAGTTTTGTTGTGTTATATGTTTCTAGTATAGTTGAGGTTGCATATCAATAAACCTGGATGTAGATTGTTAGTAATGGCTGTTTTGTTTACAATTCAATACAAGGATTGTTATTAAGGAATAAATGCTAAACTAAGGAATGCGAACTAGTAAAGTAACTCTGGATTGTACTTTTGCAGGTCTTTCAAGCTAGACTCGAGCGGATATGGAACCACTTCCCTCACTGGCTCGCAGTTCAGTTGTTTTGAATACCCTCCCTCTCCCATGGATAATGTCAGCAACAATTTGATGAGGTTAGTCGTTTGTAAAAACCTACAATTGTAAACACCATTTAAGAGATGGATCAAAGTGAGTCAGATCTAAAGAATATGTTTGTTGTTCTTGGGATTGCGAAGGTAGCTTATTGGACCCACCCTATCTTTCATCTCATATTGTTATCAGTTATCTAATTTCCCTCTTCATCTTTTCTCATGTGTTGTGTGTAACAACAACTCTCAAATTTTAGTAATAATCTTACTATCTTTTCAACAACGTACTTGTTACTGCTATTTATTTTTTGTGTTTGTACATTCACAGAGAAGTAAGATACAGAGGATACAAGCTTATGGGACAACGTTGGGCTTTAAGCTCTTGAATAGTGGGGCGGAAATGTAGCCTATCTGTACCAAGCAAGGAAAACCTGAACTGCGATTGTTTAATGGCCCTGATGGTGAGGGGGGACGAAGGGGAGAACGGAAGGGGACGACGAATAGAATTTGCTCTAGACACCAGTGATTGGTGCTAGACACAACTTAAGTGTACCATTGAAGGTTTCGTCTGTATTTTTCTTATCTGTGGAACTGTGGTACATTTTTTGATGATATTGTTGGGAAATTTAACTTTTAATACAGTCTGGTGGCTTGTTCAAATTGATAACTGTTTTGAATAACCATAAAAAATCAAAACTTTTACCCTTTTATTAGTTAAAGTAAAATTTAACTCTTAAGAACAACACAAAGAGCCCTCACTAATTCATTCACAGGTTTTGTAAGGGAATGGTTTGGACCCTGGTCTTGTTACTACCTAACATTGACCTTTGGTTAGATAGCATAATTATTGATAGTCCAATAGCAAAATGGCATCTTGGTCCAGAATAGAAATATGCACTTTCATAGCCTCTTTGAAGGCGAACACTATAACCACTCGGGTACCCAGACAATTCAGTGCCTTAATTGCCTAATATTAGTGGCACTGCAGTACTCTTCCGACCGAGGTTGTTGGGACCAAGACTAACTCGGTTACCAAGAATCTTGGATAACTCGGAGGTCGCATATATTTTGAGGTTAGGGTTACAGTACAGTGCCTTATAATGAAGTCGAATACTTGTAAAATATATCTTTAAACAACAATTAGTTAATAAAAAAATGTGTTTTAATGTAATTTTTTTGTCAAATAACGAAGTATTATAAAAGAAAGAAAATAGCACAACAAACAAGTTCAACACTTCTTCAATCGTATTGAAAAACTTTAAACATAGTATTATTAGAATTATGTTAAACCAATAAATTATTTAAAACAAAACAATAATGCGGATCTTTAGTTTAAAAGCATAAAATTGAATTTTGTTTAAGTTTGACCTGATTTATATCTTGGTAGACACAATCGTGTCTACATCAAAACATCGTAATGACGAAGACTGACACGGCTATTGTTTATGTTCTGCAGATGGCTCGTCCAGTTTGCCATCGGTAGCCTGACCAAACTAGTACTATGTGATTTTAATATTTAAGATTATTGCGGTTTATTCTTACGTAAAAATAATACTTCTTAATGGTTATTTCAAGTACTGTATTCGTTTCAAAAAACCACAAATAAATAGCTATTTTAATTTTCTTTCAATAGAAACATACTCCTAAATAAAGTAATTAGGCTTATGGTTTTCCGACTGAAAATATAAATATACATGGTGTAAAAAAAGTTCCCGGAAGGTAAAATAATTCAAAAAGTAATAAAGATAGACCTTAAAAATTTGGTACACAATTACTGGGCATTCAAATCATTTTAACACATGATTCGGTGATACACTACCTCTTCATACCATCTTCTCCAGGAGATTTTTTATCCTTCAAGGAATTTAAAACTTGTTCTACTGCTTCGATAGTTGGATTTTCAACAAGAGGCTGTACATCATAGTATTTGGGGATTTCTTCATTGATTTCTTCCCCATTTAGCAACTGTTTAAAGTGCTCTCTCCATATTCTGTTGGCCACTTCCTGTTTCTGTACTAAAATATTACCTTCTTTGTCCTTAATGCCATATTTAAATAGCTGTCATTTTTGACATGGTTGCCCGTTTGAGTTCGGGTTTGCGTCATTGTATTTTACTTAAAAAAGACCTTTAATTTGATCTGCATATCCTATGCTTACATTTAAGATTTTCTTCTGACTCCTTTCGGGCCCGTCCCCTTGAGGAGGTAGCACATCTTAGAATAATGTGTTAAAATGATCTTAATGCCCAGTAACTGTGTACCAAGTTTTGATACTCTATTACTTTTTGAAATATTTAACTGTCCTGGGACTTCATTCACCCTGTATGTTAAGGCCCATAACGACCTCGAATAACCCAAAGGCTCGAATAATCAGGAGTGCACTATAATAACAACACATCTTTCCTGATCTTGACTAGACACATATTTTGTCAGTTTTGTGTGTGTGTGTGTGTAGGTCAGAGTCGTGTGAAAGCGGAGCTGAAATGTGGAGTATGACCAGTAGTGTCAGTGAACCCGACAGTCCAATGGTAGACAACGCAGACACACACTTCAAACCTCTCAACATTGGCAATCGTCTGGACATCATGTCTTACGCACAACAAGAATGGACTGGCAACACCCCCAAGTCTCACACCATCCTCAGAGTATGTTAATGTTTGTTACTGTAGTTGTTCTGTACCAAAATATATTTTAGATTTGGTTTCATTTTAAATTATCATTTATTTTGTTTCACCTTCATTCTTCTGTTATTTTTAGTAGGTTAATTGCTTGTAACAGACAATTTTAGTTTCCATTGCATTGGTCTAGAATTATTTTTGGATTTTTTTTCTTTTTACCAGCGCACTTTAAACCTAAATACGGGCCCGCATCAAACCTGCAAACAATTCAAATTTCCATTTACTTGGTTGAATTTTCACTTAGTATTCTCATGAAATCATCAGATTTTTTTTCAATTAAATAACATTAATTTTAATGAGCACTTAAGCTATGTTTTTTGCTACAGGGAAGAAAATAAAGTGTTTTTAATGACAGTAGCTTATTATTATGAAATAAATAAATTTGCAAATATATCCCTATAGAAGCATACTACAGTAGATTCTTTATTGTCTATAAGAGTAACATGGTAATTCAAAAATAATTTTTTTAAAGGAACTAAAGAAATAAATTGCAAAATTTTATATTTTGGGGGTCAAAAATGGGGAAACCCTAATTTACCCCATAAAACCTTGTCCACGTGGTTCGATCATGCTGGTTCACAAAATCTTTTGAATAAATGTGTCCATAGAAAAAGAACACATGCCAACCGCATTAGCTAAGTTAAAACAATGTCTTTAAGCATAAACATGAATGTGTTCTTTAGTGCATAAACACACTTCCCTCTTTAAACAAAAAAAAACACAAAATACTATACAAAAGATGTTTTTTTTTTAGTTTTAAGTTTTTTTAAGTTGTCTGTATTGTTTGGATCACGTTTTTATCCCTAGGTTTGGTAACATTTGGGGGGGGGGGGTAATAGTGCACAGATTTTACCATCCTTTATTTCATCTGCATCAGGATGCCCAAGGCAAAGTAATAATGCTCTTAGGGGCAACATTTTTTTTCTAAAAAATGTTTTGACTAATGAAACAAAGCTGTTATAAAATCATTCATTGAAGAGAGTCTTGGTCATCCATAATTTTGATTGGTTTTTGTATTCCACGGGCAAATTTACATAATTAAAACACATGGGGCCGCTGCCGTGTTGCTAACTTGCGGTCAGGTGCGCTGGCAAAGCTCTGTGGACTATGGATTTTTTGGGCAAACGCACCAAAACAAGCCACTCTCAACAGCGGTACACACTTGATCAGGGGTCACGTTCATTTCTTTAACGGTTTGTTTGAGTTTAGCTATAAAGTTCTCAATAGATACCTCCTGGCACAACAGTCTTTTACCAGTTAAACTTTTTCAAACAGTCTAATCGCAAAACGTCTTTTAAACTTGTCCAGCCAACCTACACTTGCACGAAAGTTGTCCTTTTTCATTATTTCTTTTAAAAGAACTTGGCTTTTTCCATTAGTATATCATCCTAAATAGTTGTGTCTGATTCTTTTTTACATGAACCATGCAAAAATAGTATCTTCTACTTGGGGAAACTCACCTGGCTTCAAGGGTTTTCAATTTTGTCCTTTTTGTTTTTAATTCCGTGTATTGTTGCATGACCTACGTTGTATTCTTTGGCCAAATGAGACAACTTATCACCTTTCTCTTAAAGTTTTAGAATTTCATACTTTTTATCGATTGTTAAAAGCCGTTTTTAAATTTTTCCAACATCGCACTAAACTTTTACAAAACTGCACATTTCAACCACATATTAACCCACACGTCAACTGAACGAAATGCAGTAAGTAGACCTACTGTGTAACCAGAGCACAAGAATGTTATCACTGATCAACTGATGGTGTGGCATCCCAGTGAGTCATCCGTGCTTGCAGGGACATGAGACCAAAGAGCATTGACCTGACCTGCCATCGCTCACACAGTGCTGGATTACTTGACGTGCCATATTAGCGCACAGCCAGATTATAGAGACTGTAATGTATATGAATTTGAATGGATGGTGTTTTTGGCCTCTGGGGACCTCAAAACAAAAAAGTAAATCGGTCCCGGGGCTATGTTTACCATGAGACCCACGGTAATAGCTTATTCCCTATTTTTATGGTAATTTGCTTAAACATAATCTTATAAACAACAAACACTAAAACAAATTACATTCCGAAAACTAACTTAATAACATGGATATAAGATCAATTCAAACATTTAGTGATCAATATTTATTTGTGTTTAATAAGCATTAATATGAAACTGTATTGTGCACAGGGACATATTTCCGAATAGGCGGACTAGGCGCCCGCCTAGGGCGGCAAATTTTAGGGGCGGCAAAATTTTGAGGGTAAACAAATAAAAAAACGAAGTTTTAATCTAAAAAAAATGTTAGCAAATAATTTTGGGAACGGCGAAATAGCCATTTCAAATATTTTGATTATTATAAGTATACAACTATTTCAGAACGCATCCAAGTCAAACAAACGTCAATAGTTTATTACACAGCTGTGTAGAGTTGTCCGTGCTGCCCTATTGGTCTGGCAGACACGCTCGCCGCGAAGGGCGGGTCGCCGAGCCGGCCGCTATGTCTAGTCGATTTCTAGTGACAAACGTAGAAAACACTCCCTTCTGTTTACTTCATACACCACTACGCAGTGGCAGCACTATAGCTGAAAGATTCTTTTGCTAGGTTAAAATCAAGAAGGAAAGTGTGAACTAAATACTTACCACTGTACCAAACTTAACTAATTTAAAATTGTATATTATTCTTTCAGTAAAAGTACGTAATTTTTCTTTGCGATTCATGTGTTTTTTGTAAGATAAAAATAGTTTAAGAAAACATATTTCTTTCATTTCAAATCAAAGCCAATAGCACGTTTCTCAAGTGGATCTGACTAATAGTGTTCAATGAAAAGTGTTATAAGAACCATTGTATACAGACGATTTTGTGTGCCGTTTAAAGCCGCAAAATGGGATTGTAAAAATACGTACTGATTAGAAAAAAAAAATGGTGCATTCCGTGTAGGCCTATCCAAGTCAGAATGTTTTGCAAAAAAATGGCACAAAAAACGTCCGTTAAAAGGGGTCTAAATAGTATATTTCGTACCTAGGGCCGAAAATGAGGTTTCGCCGGCTCGAGATAGTTTTTAGGTTCGATACGAAGTCAACCTAAAACGATCGAGAGCTGCAAAACCATTTCGGTCCGTGGTACGAACGCCATTTTCCACCACACTATACCTTAATAGCACTATTCACCACAATAATGATGCACACTGATAGTCAACACAGCTAGAACTTTAAGGTCATGTGAAGAAATAATTTGAGGAATCAGCAAAAATTAAAATAAATAGTTGCTAGGCAGCGGTGAAAATAAAACAATTATATTGCAATGCTACGGATACTGATTGTGTATTTAATATGCATTCGTGTTTAAAAAAGTAAGCGATCAGCTGATTTTGCGGCCCTAGGGATGTAAGAACCTGCTCGGTCCCCAAATGACGATGACAGGTGGCATGGCCAGCATAACTTACAGCCACCAATTAACGCATGTAAAACCGCTAAAAACATCATAGTGTGGTGAAAAGTTATTAAATTTGTTGATGCAGCATGCAATATTACCGATTATTTTTCCACAAAACCAGCTGACAGGGCATGTATTGGCCATTGGGGTGATATTAGTGAGGTCGTGGAGTGCGTTGAAAAGTGGGAGCGGGAGGGGCGGCGGCAAACTTTGTTGCCTAGAGGCGGCAGATACTTAAATACGTCCCTGATTGTGCATACATAACTTAGTTGTTGAATTATTAGTTATGATGCCCGTTGCAGTTCAGAATATAATATACTTTTTTTGTCAGTGCTATTGGTGATCTGTTTGCTCCATTGCTGCCAGTTTAAAAGTTGTATTGAGGATATAATAATTTAAATGGCAATTTATCTTAACAATTAGTGAGGAATAGAATAACGAGTTTAAATTGCTTCCCTGTAAGGACATCAAAGGATATTGTATTATTTTTTGAAAGCAGACAGGGGAAAAGAAATTAATAATGTATTAACAACATCATTCGTTAAAAGGAAATTAAAAACAGAAAGAAGGCTTGTGATGGATCGAATGTTAAATGAAACCAAAACTGTTCTAAGTTTTGAGATTTGTGTTTAATATTTGACTTATCACTAGTGGCCAGCCTGCAGTGTGAGACTCCTGAATAGATCAGACTACTCGCTAAAAAAACTCCTATACTCTATTGGACACAGACCTGGGACTGTTGTAGTTACCCTTCTTTTAGTTGTCACAGAGCTCCTGAGGTTTCTGGCATTTAGTTCTGTTATTACCTAGACTGTATCCTGAAGTCAAGCTTCTTGGTTCGAAGAATACCCTGGACGAGCCGCACCCTGTATACCTACCTACTTATTGAGCGTGTTTGCCCACGCTCCCCTACAGACTGGACCACAGCAATCCAAAGCCTTAGGTGCCTGGAATAAACCACCTTAGCGGCACTGTCCGTCATATGGAAGATCTGATCCTAACATCAGACTTCGACGTCCCCCACTCTCAACGGATGTGAGCCTTGATGATGTCAATCCGCTTAATGGTCAGAATCATGATCTCACTTAGCTCAGATCGAGCAAGAGACTGTGGGTCTGCTATCCATCTGTTGATGTTATGCATGGCTTGGTTCCGTTTCAGCTGGGCCAGCTCCAAGTGCAGCTATCAAAGCCACCACGCCATATGCATTCCTAACTGAAACGGTTTTCTTAGGTATTTTAGTTTAGACCTCAAGGAGGCTTAGGTGACGTTCCAGAGGTCCGGGCCGAGTAAAAGATTGAGCGGCACCAGAAGGAGCACTCATCATCCAATCATCCAAGGACCTTCCGTAGTGTCATAAATGAGAAGGCGAAACCAAAATTAATCCTCTGTGATGCACATGAGGCATGTCTGGATGCAGAAGATGCTCTCAGAGCGTCTAGCTTATCACAACATCTCACGGAAATAAATGTGTTTGACGCTTAACAAGCAGCACAACCCAGAGAGAGTTGTTCAAATCCTCAGGTCTCATTGCAGCTTGCTTTACCTCCTATATAGCATCGACTGTTGATCGTCCCTTCCTGAAGCCGTACTGTTGATTAGACAGGTCCCCCACAGCGGCCTGATTTCAGTCAGGGACCCTGACGCGACAGAATCAGAGCCACTAATAAGTGACAATGTCACTAAATACTTTGTTCCAACATTATTTTTATTCAACAATTTTACATAAAATAGTGGATCTATGTGAGCTTCTATTTCCTATGAAACAATTAATTATTTTTCATTCAGGGTTACTATATGCAGGCATGGTAAACCAAACCTAATCATGTGTGATTGATGTGACTGCTGGTGTGCCAATTCATTTTATTAATGACAAAAAGTTCTTTCAAAAAGTTCTGGGTTCTATCTATATTCTATCTGTATCTAGCAGACCCTCAGTATTGCCAAATGGAAGAAAAAAGCAGGGATGAAAAACCCGGATACCCCATAAAAAATTACCGTAAACAAGGCGTCAAGCACAAAGCACAATTTTAAGGTTAGGTTCCTTCTACAATGTTACCCTAAAGTTATTATCGTTATTCTATTCAATTTCTCTAAATCCATGACAAAACCCCACACTGCACTAAATTTGAAACAGTCCCCACCACCTTTAAAAAATTGTAGGATCTGAAAACTAATTATAATGGATTGAAGTATAAAACTGGCACATCAAGCGGCAAGTAAAACAACGTTCTCCGTGTGAGGCTGAGCTCACACTGGATCTATAATGTAAATTTAGGAATGCTACGTAGTTTAACGTAGTCCGCCGCGTGCGCCAGTCATGCACTACCTTAAAATAACGTAGTCCGTACTCAACAAGTTAATGTTCTGGGATCAATAAAAACAATCTAGATAGCACTTTTTTATAACAAAGAAAAAATAATGAGTTAATTTTATAAATTTTATTTCAAATCATAAATACAGACTTAGGCATATGGTTATGTGTGGTTGGTTATGTTCATTGCAAATGAAGTCTTACTAAAGCTTTAATTCATCCCAGAACCTAGGATTTTTGAAAATGAGCTGTTTTGTTATGACACACAAAATAAAATAATGCTTCTGTTATAACGACTAGACCTTCTATAACCACCAACTTCCTTCTTGCTCTGGATGAAGTATCTAGTATGAATCAACCTCCTGCCCAAAAGAAATAAATCCACTGTTTCATTCTCAAGGGTTTACAACATTGCTTGCCAAACATACAGCTCATCAGGTTAGAATCCTCATTCCAAGATATAAGTTTTAGAAGACAAAAAGGATGGGAGTAAAAAACCTTCCTCTCTGCAGAGGTTTGAGAAGAAGTCCAACCCTAGGGACTAGAACTAAGACTATGTTACTCATTGGTCAACAAAAATAATAACACTAACACAAATCAAGCTTCTTTACTACACCTTTTATCTTCTAATTGCTATAATTTTCATTGTTACAAATAAAACATTGGTTGTGTTAGGAATTGAATTATGCTAAAGTAAAACAACCCTAAGAAGGCATTTGTGCCCGGTGAGGGACAATGAAGGAAAGGGTCAAATATAGCTTAAAATAATACCTTTCCAAAAACATTGGTTTTCCACTGAATTGCCAGATACCTGAGACTTATCTTCCTCACCCCTTACATAAAAGCTGCAATCCTACTGGAAGTGAATAAAAATGCTTGTCAACACAATTTCGTGAGCCACACCTGTAGGGAGGATGATTTTACCATCTGTCGTAAGACGAGGACTGCTCATACGACCCACGCTTCATACTATATATTTTATATTTACTTAACCTCAGAAAGCCAACATCTGCAGAGTGTATAGTTGAGGATTTTGCAGTTATAAGTTCAGTTTCTAGTCGACAAATTCAAACAGTCACGTGAACCAATTAGAAAAGAGAAGAAAACGCATTTTTGGTTAAGAAAGTGGATGCTTGAAGGGTGAAGGGTTGTTTCAGAGGTGCATTGATTGATTGCATCTTACAGTGACCGTTCAGCATCTTACAACTCCAGGAAATTTGCAGTTTCACTGTCTTGAAGTTTAATTGCATGTGTTCCCAATGGTGCTGACACTTAAACTCTTAACAAACCCATAAAAAAATCGCTAGGAACAAACAAAACGCCAGTCAGAAATGCAAGATTGCAAGCTGTTGATTGCCATTCACAACTGAACACTAAACAAGTTTGATCCAAAGCGTGGCCGGTGTCGTGAACTCTCCTCAATCCTGGTGACGTCAGATGTAACTCACTAAGTGTTGTCCCTACGGAGCGTATTCCACGAATGCGTGGTTCACACCTACGTGCCAGGGACACGGCATAATTTTTTGTGGGCACAGTCCCACCAAGTCGATTAGTGCCAGGTGAGTGAAATGAAATTTAATGAAAATCCTTTTTTTTTTTTGTCGGACTTACAGTTATTCTCTAGTAAGTGGATGAGTATAAGGAAGCGCCAACGTTTACTTCGTGTATAATACAGCGTTTTCAACCCATCTGCGAAGTGTCTTCTTGGGGTTTTGTGACTATACAGTATTAAAAGCATTACAAGTTTGTTTGACTAAGAATCGCTTAAGATAGTTAACTTTGAATGAATTTTAATAGCACCTTCGGGGACATCAAATTTAAAAAGTAAATCATTCCCAGGTCCAGGTCATACCAAGAGACCTATGGTAATATCTTATTCCCTATAAGGGAAATTCACTAAATAGGGGGGGTTTTTGTAAAAAGCAGAACCCTTACCATACATTCCTGTGCCACTACACCACTGATGGTACAGTAGTAGAGCTTCAATCACCCAATTGGTTATCCAGCCTTTCATGTTATCCATTCGAGAATGATTGAGTGTCAAGAAATATTGTGTTTTTTCTGTATTGTAAAACTAAACATCGTAGCTGGTGCGTTAAGAAAGCCCCTTTCACCACCCATTCCTATATTTGTAGATACATACCAGGCTTTAGGCAACTGAGTGTACTTTCCAATAGTTATAGCATTTTGCATACTACACAGTTCATCAAATCCTGATACTATACTACTACTGCTCACATGATAGTTATATGGGGGCATGTAGCTGAGTTGATGAGTATCTAGTTATATAGTTAGAGCAATTGTGATTTTACTTTGTTTTTAAATATTTGTGATGATAGCTTCCAAACGGAAAATTTGTTGGTTTCAATGAAAAACAAACTTAAGAGACTCAAATAAGTTAAATAATAGAGACACTCATTAATTTGATGAGTTTTTACATGTTAACAATGTTTGTGTTTTGTTACTTTCTGTTTTACCCGATCTTTTTTGTCCCATCCTAGGACGCTAGGCTCTAACTGGAAAAGATTTTACTCATAACTTTAGGCTAGTCCTAGAGGGTTGTGGCATTCATAGATAAAATACGTTTGTATTTGGCGAGATTTGAGCCTGGAACCTCGGGGCCAAAGCCCCGCCCTTTACCACTAGACAAACCTTGCGGCAACTAGTTTTTAGTTGGATAATCTAGACTGTACTGTGTGAAAATTATTTCACCAAATGCTGTTATGCTTAATTTAGGGGTAAAAGTTAACAAAAACAATACATATTTATTGATTACCGTTAAATTAAAACAGGAGTAAAAACTAGGCAGTTCCTTACCAAATCATAAGTGCTGAGATGTTTACAGTTAGTGAAGTGCCTATTTATCAGTTTGATTTATTGCATTTTTCTGAAGTAGACAATTATATTAAACAAATCCTTAAGAACATCTAGTAATCTAATTTTGATAAGGATAGATTATGTTGTCAATTCTCAATAATCAACATTAAAAACATTTATGTTCCAGGGTTACAAAGAAATAGCTGACTCACTTAACTACCAACATTTGCGCCAGATCCGAGGAGACAATTACTGTGCATTGCGCAGTGCTGTGTTCCAGACTCTAGCACAAGGTCTAGCAGTGCCAAATGGCGCCGGCGCCATGGCTCGTATCAGCCAGGCAAACAACACCGGGGCTCAATGGTATCAACAATGGAAGTTTAACGGCCTTCCGTATTCTGGCAACAACATTCTTCGGGGCATGGAAATTTGTTTGCAATCTCTGGATAATATTTCAGTAAGTACTATTTTTCACTAATTTTACACAATTGATGCTTTTAAAGCAAATTTTATTTTTCATGTTAATGTTTTTTCTGTGACTTTTGTTCTGTGTAATACAAGAGGTATGCTAAATATTTTGAATGTTTGAAAATGAAAAAATGATTTATATAAAGTACAAACTCACATTAAAAAATATTTTTCAATGAACCTTAGAAGTCAGGAATATTTATAAACATAATTGTACAGTTTCAAGCCCCTTTATGGTTGTTATCATCCCATTTATTGATCTGAGACCCATGGATCCAAACCCTATAATTATCTCTTAGTTTGGTACCCAGATGTATGATTTTTTGTACCCAAGCCTTATTATGCAGCAGTATCCGCAGCACAGGACACCCTGAGTCATGGATTTAACCCCTATGCTTCTCTCTAGATGTGTATGATTTTTTTGTGTGCAGGCTTTACTACGCAGCAGTAACCGCAGCACACAGGAGAGAGAGGACACCCTGAGTCACCTGCTCAACACAGACCCCAACTTGGACCTGCACATCATGGAGGCAGTGAAGCTACATATGATGCTTGCTGCCCTCGACCTATATCAGGCTTCAACAAATGGTCAGTATATGGTAGTTCATATGCTAGCAGTAAAGTTCTAAATCTTATCTCAAACTTGTGCAATGATTGACCCAATATGTTGATGTATAACCACATAGGCGCAGGACTTGTTTTGGGCGCAATATCTTGGACATTACCATGCCAACTTCCATGGAGTAGTGAGCTGGTCTATTGGTAGAGCACAGGATTTCAGACCCCAAGGTCCAGGGTTTAAAACCTGTCAATCACCAATTGATTTTATCTAATTGATAATGCTGCACCCTTTAAGCCTAGTCTGAAGTAATGTGAAAACGCTCCTGGACTAGAGCCTAACATCTTAGGAATTAAAATTCTTGTTTGTAGCTCTTGAGCTGTCGGACATAATGTAAGACTAAATTACTTACGTAATCCCGTCACAACTCAACAATATGTCAATTTAGGACATGTTTCGGTGTTAAAACGCCGTCATCAGGTTCATGTACTTATAGAGTTGATCAGTTGTTAACAGTAGACACTACGGCATGAATAAAATTACCGTAAAATAAAAAAATTAAAACAGGCCTGTTCTAACAAAATTTGACCGACAGCACTGGTAGCAAAGGACAGACTCCTAGGATTTGAAGGTGAGACATAACAAAATTAAAAACAAACATGCCAACTCCCATTGCTCAATGTAAGGTTAACGTTTCAACAAGGGACCTTCTCACACCAGCAGCACATTGTGTAGATCCATAGGACACGTAATACGTTGTTCGTTCGAGGTTCACAGTAGTCTACCGTCCAGCTTTTTCCCTGCATTTGTCTGTACTCAGGACCTGTTAGAAACTGTACAGTGCTGCCTGTATATTTCTCGTACTTCACAAACACTGGACTGTAGTTGTAGTATAACTATAAACTACATGAAGGCTCTTATGTTTGATAGGACAGGATCCAAACAATTTATTTCACTTATCCTCACTCAGAGCATTGGTTATTCCCCCTTCAGCTATCAAGCAACCACAACGAATGTGTTGTGTTAGTTGTGCATGGATCCTTAATCATAAATTAATGTCTATTTGAAATGTCAAGTCACTTTTTAAAACAATTCCATAAAATGCCTCTAATAAAGGACAAGAGTACCAATCCAAAAACAAAAACTTGTGAAACCAAAAATTTTACGTGTCTCGAAGCACTTTTCCATGGTCAATAAAAGCTGCTAAAATATGTACCTATCAAAAATATGCACACTAATAATAATATATGTTTAAAAAGTAGGTTTTTGTGTCCAATTTATATTACATTTATTAGGCTAGTTTTATTTTTACTGCATACAGTAGACTCCCTCTTATCCGGACACCTTTTAACCGGACATCGGTTTAACCGGACTACACTAGGTGGAAATTACATCTCTTTAACCGGACAATTTTTATCAGCACATCAGTTTAACCGGACTAGATCGACAGGAAGTGGGCGGTACTGAAACGACTGTTCTCGTGAGAAAGATTTGAATCCAGTGATCTAAACCAGTGTCTAAATACGTAATAATCATTATTGGCTTATACAGTATGGATTTAAACTGTCCGTTTTAACGAGTTTTTGGGGATGGTTTAACTGGAAAACGTTCCGAGGAGTCCGGATAAGAGGGAGTCTACTGTAATTGGTTTTGTGGACCTATCTGTATTAAAACTTCCCTTTGCTGATTGTTCATCACTATTTAGTAGGGTCTGATGTTATAGTTACTACCCTGTCTAATATAATTTTGTTACCTTGAATACATTCATTAAATATATACCCTTTGTGTGTTTGTAGGTGAAGAAGTTCCTCTTTTCTCCATACTCATGTACGCTAGAGACACATCTGAAGTTCCGCTGGATTTTATGAACAACCATCTCATTAAAGTTGGGGACTCTGGAGGCTTAGAACAGGTAAAGATCGTTGCTAACTTTCCATAAATCACTAGGCTCTACAACAGCCTCAGTGCTCATTTACATAGTCATTGACCTATGTAATTTTTATTTCATCTAGTTAAAAGTTTATATTTTGCACTTCAATACTTAGAACAGTTATTGAAGTAGAGACGCAAGTTTTAACAGGATGAATACAAGGTTTCCATGTGGCAACTGTTGTCAGGCTAGCATATTGCGGAGAACTTCCTGTTATTCCTGTAATGAGCTCCCTATTCTATAAAAGATTACTTTGGTATTATACGGAAGCCACATATTTTACAGCACGCTGCGGCAGTTTTGTTAGGTTGGGTTATCATAAATATGTTTGTAGGACTTTCCTCGTTTCGTTATGAATCGAAAGATACCAGATGAGTCATACTTTCTATTGATAACCCAACCTAACATAACCGCCGCAGTGCGCTGTATAAGGGTGGCCTCCGTATAATACCAAAGTACCGATTTTTTAAGTTGCCGATAAAATTATGACATACTATCTGTTGAATTGTGGTACTTTTATTATTTATAGTTTAGTTTTATTTATATTCTTAGTAAACTTTGTGAGGCTATCATACAGATTCTCTAAAATAAAGATGATACTTCTTAAATTCAATACAGTTCTTTGAGTTTGTTAACAGTAACAGTAACCACTAGTGCACATCTGTTTTGTTACAGTATTTACTTAAAAACATATTAACAATAAAAAAGAACTAGTGCAGCATATATACAGGGTGACAAAAAAGTCTGGAAACGGTTTAATATCTTTTTAACCAAATCCGTTATAAAATTCAAACCTTTCACATCAACTCACATGTATGAAAACTACTTTTTCCAAGTATTATCATTTTTTTACCTCTACCAGGGGACGACCCATGAGGAGTAGGTACATAATCTTTAATGTAAGCATAGGTTGATATGCACATCATTTTAAAGGGTTAGTCAAGTGGAGTTCATTGCTGGAAACCGCGTCTCAAAAGGTTCATCCGTTACAAAATGGCGGCTGTCCAAAGCTCTTGTGGAATATACCTGCACAGGCCTTAGTATTGGTAAATACTCGTATTAAACATTAGCTTGAGAGCTGAAACTGTATTTTAAAGTCAACTAGCTCATAGACTAATATTATTCAATCTTCAAAACAAATTTAACCGGGTTTCAGATTTCCCGTCCAATGTTGACTATGAGTATTTACCAATACTAAGGCCTCTGCAGGTATATTCCTCAAGAACTTTGGACTACCGCCATTTTGTAATGGATGAACCTTTTGAGACACGGTTTCCGGCAATGAACTCCACTTGACTAACCCTTTGAAATGATGTGCATATCAACCTATGCTTACATTAAAGATTATGTACCTACTCCTCATGGGCCGTCCCCTGGTAGAGGTAAAAAAATGATAATGCTTGGAAAAAGTAGTTTTCATACATGTGAGTTGATGTGAAAGGTTTGAATTTTATAACGGATTTTGTTAAAAAGATATTAAACCGTTTCCAGACTTTTTTGTCACCCTGTATATAAAACAATAGTTTTTTGCTGCAAGAACTTTCCGTTTCAATCTTAACTTGACTCTTTAACAATTGATTGAATGATAACATTGGTGCTTATCAGTTGTCTGTAGATTTGCAGTTTTATTTTACAAAACCTTAGTTATATTGTAATTGAGTATTACTTAGCTAAAACGTTTGTAATGCTTTTTTGAAATCACATATTGTACTATGTTATTTGTAATACTGTAATTGAACTTTTTCTCTTTTTGTGCTAGGATGTTCATTCAGTAAGTATTTAGCTAAATGTGCTTGAGCAGCATGCTGCCAGTTATTTCTCAGGTTTTCAGGCTTTATTCCAAAATTTATTGTGAATTAAACTATTTGTCCCTTTGATGCAAACTATCTTATTTCAGTATCTTATAGCAGTTATCTTAAACATCTTGGGAGCATATATCCCTGGTTTTTTCTTCATACTTAAAAAAAACAGGCTTTAATTATTTGTGCTTGGATTTTATTGGTTAAAACTGTATATACCAAATAAAGAGTGAAACTTGATCAAGAATTTTAGGATACTGCACGTATTTTTTTAAGCTATTCTTCTTTTGCACCTTGAAAGTAAAATATCTTTTAAAACAATATTTTATACAACCCATAACTCACTCCGTACCAATTATTTAATAATTTTCATTTTAATTTTTACATGGTGCTTGGCTGAATATAGAGTAGTAAATAGCATGCAGTATGTGAGAAGTGAGAATCAGATGAGATTATGTTAGTTAGCCTAAGTCATATCAGTGTAACAAAAGCACGGCTGGTGTAGTCCTTGGACCATGAGGTAACTTATAAATATCTGACTTAATAAAAAGAGTACTTCTAGAACTATTCTTATGAAAAAGTAGGATTAGAGATGCAAATTCAATATACATTTCAATCTGGTGTTAGACTCACTGCAGTTGTCTTGATTTTTCCGATCTTTGGTCATCCGACCTTCTTTGAACGATCAAGTACCGTAAAACAGCGAGTTATTTTGTGTGGCATGATTGAACACTTGCATACTCTAGTGGTACAGCCTCTTTAGCCCTCCCTGACTATAATAAAAGATTCACGTCAATCTTCATATATCTGCAATTGACTATACTTTCTTACTGTGTCTCGCTGCATTCCACATAGCTTGTCAACCCCTCAAACCATATGTCTTTACCCTGCAAGTCTCAGTAGTTCTGTTAACAGTGTCCACATAGCTCTTGAGTGGACGTATATTACTTTATCTTACATTCTGTTGTTGCTTTAGTGGTGCTTTTACTCTGTCAGTTACTTATTACATTTAGATTTATGACTTGAGAAGTGATTTTAAAACGGTAATTTGTTATACAGGGTGTCTACCTGTCACGGATGTCACCGAAGTCCCCAAAAAGTCACCGATTTTAGTAATGTGTCACCGATGTCCCCTATTGTCACGGACTTTGCTTAAACTGTCACCAAAATTTTTGTAGACCTACAGATTTTTATTTATTTTTGGGACAACACTAAATCTTTAGACGAAACTTGTCATGTATCAATAATATTATACTATTACGTACAACAGTTAATCTAGTCTAGATTTAGACTAGATGATTCCAAATAAAATGATGGCGATGCAAACTGCGAAGTTAATACCATGTTATCATCCGAAAACTAGTCAGTTTAGTACTGTAGCTAGTCAGGCAACCGGCCAAAATCTCGCCGACACAAAACTATTGTGCCATTGTGCCAGTTCCAGTATCAAGAAAAATTTTGCAATTTCTCTTATGGAGTCAGGCAACCGGCCTGTGTTTTGTCCGCACCAAAATACCTTACAATAATGGTATTACCGTAGCTTATCAGTCTCGGATAGAGTCAGGCAACCAGCCTGTGTCTCACCGGCACAAAAATATCGTGCAAATAATGCTAACTTGCTACCGTAGCCGTAAGGTTGAGGTCAATTCCATGTACGTAAACTAATTAAAATACCTCCAATAAAAAGACTGTTCAGACATTTTTTAAAATAAAAAATATATAAAAGAACACTTACATCTGTGCATTAGTTTTACACGTTCACTGCGCTACGAGATCCTGAGATCTCGTATCGTACGTAGCCCGTTGTGCGGGACCCATAATTTGGCTTCTTTCCTTAAGTTACAACATCGATATTTTGGCGTACAGTTATCGTAAAGAAATTAAACTTGTACATATATAATGCATTTTTATTGATCTATCAACTAACTAGTAAACATGAAATGAACTAGATAAATAGATCTCGTAACGCACTGAAGTAATAAACTTTTACTTTATTACGATACGAGACCTCTGGATCTCGTATCAAAAATAATTGTTCCATGCACCGCATGAGGCTAATGGGGTGATTAGTATCGTAACCATGGCAACTTGGATGAATGAAGGAAACCGAAGAAATAATTCAAGAACGAAGAGAAAGAATAATGGCTTTTTTATGTTGATATATTTATGAGCTATCTAATGTTTTATAGGTTTACATAATAATTGTTTTCAACAACGCGAACATAAATTATTTTAATTATTAACGTGTTTCCCTTCTGAATCAGCAGTAACGGATGCGTATAATAAAGATCATTGGTCAATGACCTAAAAAATATCACGATTGTGCAATGTTGTATTTTTATGTAAAAAACAAATCATGGCATTAATTTGAATATTTCTCCTATGGTTCCTGATCAATGATAAATAATTGTCAAACCAAACAAGGAATTTCTGATAAACAACTTTGTATCATTGTTTTGCGATTGGAATCCCCTTCCCCAGCCCTTTAGGGAAGTGGTGCAAGTCTAAATATAGCTTCAAGGTTATACACTCACCCTTTCCCCCCGCCCACTCTACTCACGGTGGCTCGCACTCATTTCGAGGTCATTGCCCAACCCCAAAATTATAACGAAATAAACTAAACACAGTAATTTGTAAACATATTTCATTTGTATTTTATTTAGCCTGAAATCAGCCATAAGGAAATGCATCCTAAAAGATGAGCACTTTATGAGTAGGAGCATAGATAAAACATGAGTGTGTTTTATCCATGGTAGGAGCTAATGATTATAAGTTCCACGATTGATCAACATCATGTTTATCATGTTTATTGTTTAACATTTATTTATTGTTCTCTTCACTCCCTTTACTTATACGTCTACGATCAGTTTGCCACTTCTAGAGAATTGATTGTTTTCTGGCGTTTGAAAATGAGTTCTATATTTAACATTAAGATCCTGAATTTATATTAGGCCTTGTTTGTGACTTAAAATTAACTCGCAGAAATTTACTTAGTTCGATGTCACTGATTTTTGTAGATAGGGCCCCCAAATGTCCCCGAAATGTCACTGATTTTTCAAATAGCTTACTGGTAGACATCCTGTTATAATGGCTTAAAAAGGTTAGTGGTTTCATTGGAAGACACAAACTTAGGGCCTTTGAATGGGTTTGATAACGAAGAAATTGTTTCAATAATGTTTTTACATGTTTACAATGGTTACTATTATTTTACCTATCTTACGATATTTTGGCTTATCCTACCATGAGTCAGTCAGCTTAGGTGGGATGATCAAGACTGTTCTGTACAAAATTATTTCAATACACATTGTGTATAGTCAAAATTCAATATTTCTGGAAGAGTTTGGCCAAAATACATTTAAATATTCATGAATTCTAATACATTTATATTGATTCATGACATACCTGCAGTGTGTCCTTGCTATGTTTACGAAACTTGTTGTTGAGGTCAACAATGTAGATTGTTGTGATACATGAAAGTGTAATTCAATTGAAAGTGTTTTGATTTTAAAATAAAACATAACATGTTTTACAAGGGTGTTTCTTTTTTATTAAAAACAAAATGTTTTTAATTTCTAAGGCGATTTACATCTGGCACTTACCTAGATATTGTGTTTGGCGATGAATTTTGTATTATAATGTACAGAAAATCTTCCTAAATGGAAACTAATTTCCATGCAAAGGAGGTTAGTGCTGGGATAATGTAAATACATAGTTTAATATTAAAATAGTTTTTATGATCAATTTTGGTGTGGACTCAGAACTAGGAAATGTGTACACACATTTTGATACTAACTGCATGTCTGGTAAATTAATGGTTTGTAAAAAGGAAATATAGATAAATTGCAATTTTCGTTTTAACTTATATGTTACATAAATTTGATAAACTTTTTTTCATGAATTTATATTGTTCTCATAATTTTGCTTGTATTAACAATTTTGATTTTGTATCCTTGAAGAAATATTTAATCCAAGCTTACCATAATTCAAGCCTCCATGTATCATGCATGTTTGTAGAACTTGTTCAATTATTTGTTGTGACCTCTTGTGACAAACACGAATACTTGATTAAATAGGGTGAAAGCTATACTTAAATGTGTATAAGTATATTATTATTGCAGATTGAAAATATACTATGTATTTAACAGTGATGTGTTGGTATTATTTCAATGTTGATAGAAGAACTGGTTTCTGACTGATTCAGAATTGATTATCAGTTAACTGTGTTAGTATATGAGTTTTACCTAACCAATTTCTATTAATTCCTTAAAGGTTACAATACAATACAATACAATACAATATTCTTACATTACCATTTGCATACGTGGACTTTTCTTACAAAATATTGTAAACATTTTGGCTACACAAAATGGTCTCACTTTGTAAATTTATAAGTGTATTGGTGATTTGTGATTCATTTCAACCCCGAAACCAAGTCAAATTAAGAACTTCATAATAATCATTGGGGTCCTAAACAATAGATTATTTTGTTTGGAAATGTAATAGTTCTTAATTATAAATGAAATCAACGTATTACTTTCCAGGGTGTTCAGCTAAATGGGAAAATCGGGAAAACCAGGTATCATGTTGTATAGGATCGGGTAATTTTGATTTTTTAGTATTACCAGTAGTCTATGGCCAAATGCTCACTCTTTTAATGTCACTCATAGGTTATCTTTTCAAGTCACACCCCCCCCCCCCCCCCCCCCCACCAGAAAAAATTATTACATGCCAACAGAGAGATTATTACGATGTCACCGTGATCAAAACTGTAGGTTACGTATGTTGTAGTGATTTATCTAATGTTTTGGTGGTTTCTAGTTTGAGTTGGTAACATTATTTAAGTAAGTAGACAAAAGAAGTAATTCGGATCCCATGGACGAATTTACCTAGACCAAATTAATGTAAATTCTCGGCACCGGTACTTTTCCCAAGAGTAGAGGAAGAGTAGGGAGGTGGTACCAACACATTACTAATATGTCATAAATACAATTATCTGATTGCTCAGACAAGTCATGTATCTGTGTGTTTTGTGATCAGACAAGTTTTGTATCTGTGTGTTTTGTGATCAGACAAGTCGTGTATGTGACCAGACAAGTCATGCATCCGTGTGTTTTGTGACCAGAAAAGTCATGCACCTGTGTGTTTTGTGATCAGACAAGTCATGTATCTGTGTGTTTTGTCACCAGACAAGTCATGCATCTGTGTGTTTTGTGATCAGACAAGTCATATCTGTGTGTTTTGTGATCAGACAAGTCATGTATCTGTGTGTTTTGTGGTCAGACAAGTCATATATCTGTGTGTTTTGCAGGTGGAGATGTTTCTTCTCGGCTATACACTAGGGGTGACTCTCAAGGTGGTGCGCCCCTCGGCCCACGGGACACAGCAGTTTGTCTGCTACTACCCAGACGACCATGTCTCTACCTGGCCCCAAGTCACCCTAGTGGCAGAAGACGACCGCCACTACAACATCTTATGCTTATAACCACAGTAAATAACTGCCTCTTGTTCTTAATAGTACGCTGAAGTCGTATATTGTTGTAATTCCAAATCCATTAATATAATCCCTCGGTGGATTGTTAACCTCTACTTAAATTAACTGTCACCAATATCTCAAAATGCTATGATTAGTTTATTTTTGTAAACACAAACAGGTAGGTAATAATTTATAGCTTTGTTCCTATCTATTCCAAAGTATTTACATAATGTACAACCAATGCAAGCATAATGTACTGTACATAATGTCCTACAACTTCCCTAAAAAAGTTGTTCACCAAAACAGGTAGTCGTTGTTTTTACTATTTCTTCATTATTTTTTATGATAACTGTATGTTAATTCTAAACATGACATTTAAAATATGTACCTAATTCCATTGCTTTGCTCAGTAACCTGTGAGTCGGTGTGAAAAGATTGGTTAGGATGAAGTATATTTTTGCGAAGTGTTTGAGACACAGTAGTGAGTTTCTAAGAAACTGGAACCAAGGTTTGAAATATTGATAGTAATATTTTTGATATGGTCAAAGAGGTGCTTTTATTTTTCTCTGCAATGCTTTTCAGGCAACAAATTTTGGATACTATAAATATATTTTTGAATCACAGTACAGTATATCATAAGGAAAAAAAATAGCTTGTATGTAAGAATTAGAATTTGGTCGTTGCTATATCTGATACAAATTACACCAAATAATTACTTGTTTGATATTATGGTATTTAAAGTGATATTTTTTTTATGCAAATGATTTTGTGTGGATTAGATTATTATATAGCACTAATTTATATTGTATTTTGATCTGTGCAGAAAGGATTGATTCTTTTGTAGAATTTTTTTGTTTAATCATAGAAGTATTGAACTGTAAAATAACAATTTAGTATGTTAATTATTTATTTAATGTGTTTTTTTATGAGTCATTGTTTGGAATAATAAGACATTAGACTAGCCATGTATACGTGTATTCAAGCTAGAACATAGTTTAAGTGTTAAATAAACATCTAGTCATTGCCTGTGTAAAATTTAATCTTAGGTGTGGTAAAAAATTGTGTATAAATGGAAAATAGTTTACCAGTTGCCGTATTGTCTGAATTCACAATTATTTTATTTAAATAAACTTTTTCTTTTTTATAAATCTCAATATAAACATCAGGTACTTACGTTTTTAATGGTAATCTCTATCAAAGCTTTTACTGATATGATAAGATGTATAATGAACAATGTATTATATGAATATGTATTATATACTGTAATTATTTCTAGTCCTAAATTAAGTTATCATTGTTATAGTCAATGTAGCTAAATCAATCCTGGCAAATTAAGCCAGACATGACGTAACTTTAGCAATAATAGTACCTCGTTTTTTATATTTTTACTATATTATTTTTTTGAATTTTTATGGCCTTTTATTTATGAATGTTATCAGTGATTTCAACTATATAACTCAACATAGTTTAAGAGTTGGGTTTGAAAGTCTATAACTTGGTTGATGGATTTATCATAAATATACATTTTGTTTTTACTAATATAAAAATGGCCTTTATTGCACAATAAGGTTTTCACTCATCCAGCATATTATATATACCGCATTTTATATTTTAATTTCATATAAATTTTAGAAAACATTTTTTAGTAATCTCCGTTGTGTTTTGTTAAACGCCGAGATGTGTAGCTAACCTAGTTCAATATTTTAGTTTATACCAACCACTTTTGTAAACAATGATTAGTTTAAAAATGTTTTTGTACCAGTTTTCCCTGAACAAAATATGAATTTTGTTGTGCGTCTCTTGTGATTTAAACAATCAAAGTCAACAACTAACTTCTCCTTGATTCATTGCTTAAGTTTACTCAAATTTGTTCATTTAAATTCTTCTTAAGCGTATCTATATCACTTGTTTGGTTCACGATAACTATTTAGTTCACTCTGTTTAGTATCCGCAAGATTCATCCCAAAACAAACTTTTCTCAAATTATCATGTAAATGGAAATGGCCCATTACTAACTTGCTAAGAATTAATTACATTTTAACATCTAAAAAATACATTTTTCAATCCTAGTTTATGGCCAATTATTAGTCAATGTAAAAATATAAAAGACAGTTAATTCTCACTTCCTAGACTGTCATTTTTATTGATGAACAAGTGAAATTGCAATCAATGAGATAACGTTTATTGTTATTTGGCTCATTGTTGTTGTGTTAGTTAAGATGTTAAGAAAAATCAAAGTGTTATTTTATATTGTATTGATGGTGTTATCATTAAAATTATTTAACAATATTTTATTTGTTGGATTAAAATGTAAAACTTATCAACTTTTCCTTATTTGTGAATATAGCAACGTGTAAGGGATTAGGAGAATAATTTGGCATTGAGGAATGCAGACACCTGATTAATATTAACATTGCCTCAATAACTGTAATTATATATTTATTCCGTCACTTTATTCTTTTATGACTTTATTATGGTTGTGACCTAAGTTACAGTTACTTAAGATGATAATTTAAAGCAACATTAGGTTGTTTAGTATTATTTTACTGAAATGTTATTGTTACCATTTGTATTTAAATTTTTAGCTTAACTCAAGTTTGATCAAGTACTTGATTATTTTCTCCCCGAGAGTAGAAAGGAATTATTAAAAACAAGCTGGGCAAGTGTAAAGAAGATAATAATGATCAGTATTAAACAATTCTCATGATGAATCATACTGTGAGGATTGTCCGATTTGTGTTTGAGGAATTAAGTTTAATGCTTCAAGTATACAAAGAAAGTTTGACAGATGATAAATTTAAGTTGTCTACAATGACACACAGTTTTAGTCTTAATTCCAAGCCTTTCAGATTTGTCTGCAACCTATTGTTTAGTTCATACATTTTTGTAATAGGACAATAAAAGTCTGCATGACTTAAGGCAATCCAATCTTATATAAGCTCATTGTAAGGTTTTTTTTTTTCAAAATATATTAAGACATGTTATGGCTAGGGATGGGTTGATTTCAAAATTATATTTTCGATTCCACCGATTCTCAGCTTGGGAATAAATTGGAACAGGAGCGTTCAAAGTCGACTCTGATACCGATACTCGACTAGTCTGTGAAGATCCGCACGATCAAAAAATTACCGCAACTGCGCAAGACCACGATGACGTTTCCGTGACCGTGGGAGACGACAATTATGTCTACACGACCATGGGAGATGTTCATAATTTTGCCGGGATAGGGAAGACGATGATGTTCCATTTCCTCGGGGGTTATTACGGGTTTTGCGGGAGACAATGACGATGTTTATATGACCACGGGAAATGATCAAAATTTTGCCGTGATCGTGGCAGACAATGCATATGTTCCGTTACTGTGGGGCTTATTCGGGGTTTTGTCTTGACCGCAGGAGACAATGATGATGTCCACATGGCCGCAGGAAATGATCAGAATTTTGCCACGATCACGGAAGACTATGATGTTCTGTTACCGTGTGGATTTGTTCAAAGTTTTGCCATTACTGCAGGAGACAATGACGATGTTTACAAGACCGCAGGAAATGTTTTTAACATAATGTAATCTATGGAATTGGAATCAAGAATTGAGAATTTATTTCAAAGAATTAAAATCGGATTTGGAATCAAAAATTTCTGGAATCGGCCTATAAGTAGTTATGACAAAACATAATTCATGTATTTTTTGCACTCATTAGTTTGGCATTGAACATCCACACAAATTTGCAAAAGAATAAAAAACAAAACTTGATATATACTTACTCTTTTATTAAATAGGGTGATGAATAGATAAATACCATTTCTTCGAATGTATATCCCTAGAACGTTTTTCCTATATACGTTTTACCTTAAGCTCGTAATATTGAATGTTTTGTTTGCACAAATATATAAAGTACAGTAGTGGTGCCTTCTGTTGGTAAGATAGTATTTTTAACATGTACATGTTGTACATTGTAGATAAGCCCATGTGTAGCATGATGAGTATACCAAAGCGCTTGTTGAAACTAGAAAAATCTTAATTCTCAAAAACTTTCTGAATGGTTAATCATTTGATTTTAACATTGTGTTTCTCTTTTATGTTCAGGGTTACACATTAGTAGTGAAGTAATGCAGTTTTTCTGATAAAAAATTAAATGGCAATGGCATATTTCCATTTGATGCTATGTGACATTTATATACAGTATTTAAAAATGATTTTCCATCCACCAAAGTTTTTGTGAATATCACATTCATTCAATTGTTCTCCAAACAACTTGATTTATTTCCATGCACACAGCTAAAATAGTAAAATTTAAGGATAAAATTGATTGAAATTATAAAAGCTTATTTAACTAACTACCTTTGGTTGATTTGTAGTTTGGTAGTAAGTCTACTGTTATTTAAAGTAGATAATTCTATTGCTTAATAGAGCTTTATGTGAGTAAAAAAATCAGTGTTTAAATCAAACTGCCTTTAATATATTTGATGGAAAATAGAAAAAAAAAATATTTAATTCATTCATACTGTCTGAATTTTAATTGAAACGTTTGAAATGGAGAACAATAAAAGAATTAATATGGATTTAGGTGATTTGTTGGCTCTTGTTGTTGCTAAGAAATAAATATTTAATTTTACTTCAGTCCTTGATTTCATACCTTTTATGCACTATAATAATTATTTCCAATCAATATGTATTTCTGTGAGGGAGGTTGCAAGAAACTTTTGTTCATAAGATGGGATTTCTAAGATAACACTTAAACTAATTTTCCCCAAATTTCGATATTCAAGCAAGAAATGGATGTAACACTGTAAATTCATACCACCTTAATTTTTAATTTGGGAGGGAGGTTGACGGTGTGTTTAAAATCATTTACTACTTGTACTTTTTGAGGAATTTTCTAAACTTATTATTATCTCAAATATTTTTTTTATTGATATTGTCCATTGTACTGATATGTAAAACGACAACTAATAACTTCCTTATTTTTATATTTAAAACAAACTAATGAAATATTATCTGAAACACATTTATTCTTTCATTAATCTAAAATCTTCACAAACCTTTTACAAGCAGAGGATAACAAGAAAAACTCATAAAAAATTTCAGATATATTTTACAACATTTGGACGGAATACATAAAATATAAATTATATAAAACGATACTCTCATAAACACTATTTTAATTTGATACATTGTACATTTTATCGGTATTTACTCTGTATAGCTTTAAACAGAATGCTATAATTTTCGCTAAAATATAGTCACGAAAATATTCTTATAATAAAATACTAGCCTAAATTCTTCTAAGCTAATCTACAGTGGGTTATCACGAATCTGGTTTTGAGCTTTGCAGTGTGTCGCTGCATCGCATTACAGTACTTATAGGAACCAACAGAGGGTGTGTCAGCATTTGGGAGGAGGGGGGATGAGATCCAGCGAACTGTAGGAGTACAGCGGTCGCGATGACTCACGCTTTCTTTGGATGATGCTGAAGAGGACTCTGACTATTAGAATAGCTCCCAGGACAGTGAACAAGCAGGAGAAATAGGTCTGGGTCACAGGCAGAATGTTCACCGTGAAATACATCAGTGAGGCGATGTACCACGGAAGTCCCACTTGATTCTGTCAATTGCACACTTAGGTTATTACTCATTCCACCCAAGATTGATTTTTAATGTGATGTTATGGTTTTATAGTTTAACCAATATAATATTTCTTTGAATAATAAAAGGGTAAATTAATTTCACCAGTTGGATAAGGAAGTAGCTACGAGAACTATTTCCCAAGTACCAACCTTTGGAGCAGGCGCCATACTGTATAAAAGTAGGAAACTGGTCTAATTTGGAAGAATATCAATGAAAAGTCAAATGTGGGATAAGTTATAGGAAAATTCTTCTCATAATCAAAGAGTTCCATCCATTTTTGCCAATTTTATTTTGTTTCTGATGAACAATCAAACATTCTAACCAGTATCCTGTGAACAATTTTAGTATTTAAAAAAATTTTGATTGTTATAATGTCTACTCACATATTCAGCCCAGAACATGGGGATGAAAGTATTGCTGAACCTCTTCACTCGAGGGAAGCTAGATACTTGGCGGACCACAAGATTGGACTGACTTCGGGCTCTGCTTTCCATCGGGACTCCTGTATTCTGAAAACAATATTACAGTAAAGCTTAAAAGTACCTGTAGGTGACACTAAAAAGTTGGTACTGACATGATTACCAATGTTATTGTTTTACTATGTTTTAGCGTTTACTGATTTGACATCTACTAATCTCTGTCACTATTTGCACAATTGCCACTTTGTGCAAGGTGCTTACAGAGAGCACTGGTATGATAAATATTTAATATTACAGTGTTTTTACTCAACTCGAAATTGTTGAACATTGCAGATTATATGATTGTATAGAGAAAACTATCCATGCTATTCCACAAATTTTAATCACAATTATTGAATAAACACCTGGTTTAGTAGACGTGACCAAGTGGAAAAACCCATAATGCCTAGTAAATTGTGGCAAATAAATTAAAAAATTTTCAGGAAAAATTTGTTCCTTTTATACAGTCTAAAAGAAAGATTTTACAATTTGCAGCAATCCAAACATCAAGATCGCTATAATAGATCAAGTAATTATATTCATCTATGTCGCTACCAAGCAGTTGCGGCCAACACAGTTTTTAAAGAGATTTCCAAGAACCTCCTGTTAGTGAACAAAGAATATTTTTTGATGTTTGTCTTTTACTGAAGAAGAGGGAAAACATTGTTTTACTAATAAACATATTTATAAAACTACTCCAACCTCATCAGTGTCAAATTTGTCAAAAACTGTTTGACATATATGATTACTTGATTACTTCTAGTCATGTGGGAAATCCAGTGGCAGAGATAAGATTGTGCAAAACGGTCAGTCTCAAGCTATAGCAGTGTCTGAATTATTATCAGTTTATAAATTCTTTTTTTTTTCAATTAATTTTTGGATTACGACTATTCTAATATAAAATAAATACTGTAGTTTGCTTACACTTTCAAAGATTATTTGTATAGGAAACATTTTTATCTATCTTGACAGCAATTTGTTTCTGACGGAGAATTTTATGCTAAAATCTTTTAGTCAAATATCTGGAAGTGAAATACTTACAGGCTCAACAATGACAAAAGAACCATGTTTGGCCTTATCAGAAGCCAATCCAACGATGCTTTCTTTGACTGACTCTTCAGCATTGAGGAAGTGAGGGAAAGAAGCGGCTATTGGGAAATCTGGAAACAACATAAATAATTTTCAAATATATAAATCAAGGTTTAGGACCGTAAAGCCAGTGCTGATTCCTATCAGATTGAATAGAGTCAGTTTGGTTCTCTACAGTTGGCAACTCTCCTCTTCAATAGTTGTGTTCTTGCTGTAGAAAAGAAAAAGTTTGCATACAAATATTTATAAAGGTTATTAATAAGCCCTCCATAATTTAGAGTTAAAGCTTCACTCTACTTCAGGCTCGAAATCCTCAAAATAGTTTTTAGTCAGAGATATTGAAGGATCCAGCAAAGGTTGTATTGCTTTGTCAGAAACAAATTTATTTTTATCTAAATCAATAGTTACTGCAGTGGTACCTATGAGTAGAACATAGGCCTAGTTCTAAAAAGTATGTTATGGTTGTAATACACTCACTGTAGTAACAGGGTGACACATCGGTGAGACCAGAAGGCAAGGAAGGCAGACCTGGACGTAGGAAACATTCCTCTGAACCATCAGGAGGACGAGAGTAAATGTCAAGAGGAAGCTCGAACTTGTACACTGTCATTCCCATCTTGATCTCCTCATCTGACAGGCAAAATAAAAATTTCATTTGTTTTGCACATCTTCAGCTGATGTTTTCTGTTTAGTTTAGTTGCAGCACACGATAGAAAAATCAAAATCCTAATCTATAATTAACACTATTAAGAAATACTTCATTCTGATAAAAATTTTCGATGGTGCAATCTTACTCAGATGTCAGAGTAATTATGAAAAAGTGTTACTTTGGACTGGTGTCGGTCGGCAAGAAACCAGAAAACCTTTTATAAATACTTTTCCTCAGTTTTTTTACAGGTTGGCGACCTCTTTTAAACTTCCATTTGCCCATCCCCATAGTCATTTGTCATGTGTGGGTGAACTAACAAGCAATTAAAGGGTGGACTAAATCAGAGTACACAAAAGACTGCTCTGATAAATACTAGTGGTTGAAGTGGGTCATAAAAAAACATCAACGCCTAGTTGTCACACACTGTCCGAGCCACAATTCTTATTTATTTGTTGATTCCATGAGGAACCAGCAAAGATTATTTAAGTGAAAATTCTCATTCAGTTGGTAAAATTCATTGAAAACAAATTGTTTCCCCCTCCTTTTGTTTTTAGACCAAACAAATTTAAATATTGTCATAGATTAATTGTATTTAATGTTTTTTCAATCTTTAAGAGGTTCAGATTTATAAATTAAGTATTTAACTTTGTGGTGTAAATAACAGTCAAAACTATTACCATAGATATTTTTTCCAATCCTGTAAAAGTAGTTTACTTAACCCTATTAAACGTACGTGTGAAATCCAGTGGTACGACTCGACAGATGGTTTTTCGTAGGTACTTTAGGGTGTCTGTTTTTGAGATGGACTGATGGTAGGTCACGCCTTCAGTTGCACCTTGTACAGAGTCACAAGTTTCATTGTCCCAATAGCCGAATCTTGGGCTACCGTGAAACTGGTTCACTTTGAAGAACCGGTAACCGTTGTCTGGACCCATGTATACTGTCACTTCGTCCACAAAATTGCTGTAGATCTAAAACAAAAATGTCATAAAATCAAATTGTAGTTATGACTAATCAAGATAAAACATAAATTTTATTTCTGAATGAATACATTCACAATTTTTCTCTTTCGTCAAAAAGAACAATTTTCGTTAGTTTCTGAGCCTAAACTATTTCAGTTTTGGTTTTTGAAGGGATTCAGTTTTTAAGTAATTGAGGAATATACTTAGAAAAACGTACTGTAAGGCCAGGCGCACACAGGCGATTTTGAGTCTAGCAACAGTTGCCCGACTAAAATGATCACCATTGTTTTAAATTGGAGTGTGCACACCAAGAAAACAGTCTAGGGACAGTCGCGCAACTGTTGCAACCGATGTTCCCGGACCCAATTTGCCAGAGACAGCTCTTCGACTCATTGTCACGGGACTGTCGCTCCAGGTTTGGTATCCATTGAAACAAGTGTAGACGCGCACACATGCGACTAAATTGTCAGTGTGTCACTCAGTATCGCCCCAGGAATTTAGCTACTCGTGGCCAGAACTGTCACTAGTGTTTGCTCTCTTTTTGTTGTGTGAAGTTTTTAGAAAATTGTTAAAATATGATTGTTTATGATGAGGATGTCAAACAATTAATTGATAAAGTTGAGAAGAGGCCGCCTTTATATTTGAAGTCATTGAAAGACTATTTGGACATTAATTAGAAGAAGAATTTGTGGGATGAAGTTTCCTTGGCAGTTAGTAAAGATTGGAATAACCTAACAGAAGAGGATAAAATCAAAGATCACAAATTCAACGACAGAGCACATACTACGGCTGTATCATTGAAATCAATTCGGTACTGTTAACGCTGTTAT